TTCTACCTTTTTGTTTTTGAGGGGGGGGGAACCCCGAACACTTTTTTTCCCGGAGCACGCACTACACGAAGTCGGAAAGCCGGTCAACTCCTGGTAGCTTGCTGAAGGCACGCTGTCTCAGCGTCTCCAAGTGGACGTTGGACCCGGGGGAATCCGAGTTGTTCTTCTCGGGTGCGGTTTGAAACCAAGCAGAGAATTAGAGGGGACTGTCATTTCATCTATCTCACGGAAAAGCTGCAGGTCAAGCAGAGGTTCCACAGGGATGCGCGATGCTTGCAGCAGCTAAAATCACATTCACTCTACCGAACGAGGACGGAATGACATGGTCCCCTATGCAATCATCGCTCTTGCGTGTCGCGTCGGCAAGCTTGAAGTTGTTTTGTTCCCCAAACAGCTTAGCTGTTATTGGAATCTCCATTCATGCAAAGAATTGCTCCCAGTCACGAGATGGTTTGCCCCTGGTACCCCTGCTGCCTCCCCACTTGTCTCCCCACTTGTCTCCCTCCTTGTGCTTGGTGACTTGTTGGTGACTTGTAGCAACAGCAACAAACATGACAGCAATAACAGCGACAACTACGACAACAACAGCAACAGCAACAGCCAACCGACCGACCGACCGACCGACCGACGAACCAACAAACAAGAAGAACAAGCCGGAAGTGGAGGTGCTCTTCTTTGAGCTCTCTGAAGCAGGTCGGCCGAGGAAGTAGATGGTCCAACTCGAAGCTCGGCTTGAATTCCCACTCTCCCAACTTGTCTCGCCACTGGTGGCTCGGACCCTGCCATGAGACCTGTTGATCCCTCATTCAAAAAACACCACTAAGCAGAAGGGATGGTTTTTGGTTTCCCCGAAGCGCGTGATTTTCTCAGAGCTTCGTCGGAGATCGCCCGAAGTTGGAGGCTGAAGAGCTGGCTTTGCTCAAGGAGGTTCTCGGATTCTGAGGGAAGAAGAAGCAAAGCCAGACCTCCAGTGGGGAGGGGGTGGGCCCCCAACCCAAGCAGCGCCCTGTGACTTTCTCCAATGGACTGTGACTGGAGGTCTGAGTTCCAAATGCCGACGGTTGCGAGCGCGCTTCTTGTATATAGTTCTTTGCCACCTGGCAACGTTAGCTCTTCCCCCGCTCCAGGCTCCCACCTTTTTTGGGGAGAATGATTACCTTTTTTGTTGGCTTTAACCCATGCGTTGAAAGCTTGACTTGGCAGAAGATACCCTGGAAAAAGTGGGTATTTGGAGTAGGGGCACCTTTTTGATGTTCCTTTGACGTATTTGAAGGCGCGCCGGAACTTCCGTGGAGGCCCTTTGGCTAACAGGCAAAGCGATGCCTGAGCATGGCGAGAAAACCATGTTCAGTCCATGGCTTATGCGAGGGCAAATGAAAGCGGTCGACCTCAAGGCATTTGAAGGCATTTGGTTTGCGATCGTTGACTTGCTGGTGCTCAGTAGGGAATGACTCGGGGTGTTGGGAATAAACCTAGGGGCTCCCTTCAAGGAAACCACAAGGGATGGTTTATGGGGGTCATTCCCTTGCTCCCTGCTGAGCACCAGCAAGACGAACCCCATGATGACGATTTCCTTGGAAAACGATTGCTTTTTCGGACGTTGAATTATGTATTTTGTATGTTCAGGCAGCAGTGCGACTCGTACACCACTCCTCCACGAGTCCTTTCCGAGCGTCCCTTAGTAGGTTTCACGTGTGCTGGTTGGTCCAGCACACTCCTAGCGGCGGAGCATGGGCGAGTCTCGAAATTTTGGGGTAGCTGGGCGTCTGACTTGTGTTTGGTTTCAACAGGAACCGTTCATGGCGGATCATCGTCCCTGGATTTCCGTGGCGCGAAGGCTCAAATGGACTTGTACTTCCCCGCAACTTCACGTGGAGCCCAACAAAACAACCTCTTTTCTGGGTACCTCCCTGCTTCTTCACGTGAAGCTCAACAAAACAACCTCATTTCGGGAGGAGTCTCCTTTTAGAGGGCCATTTTTCGGGGAACCTCAAAATGACATCTGTCTGAAGACCCCCCCGCCTCCGGCCTGCGGCGCCCCGATTTTTCAACGAGACACGCCCATATTGCGGACTGGGGGTGCTCTCCGAGCACCGAGTCCTGCGTATGGAGCGAGTGGGCCTAGGAAGGGAGCTGGATGGATGATGCCATTAATCTAGGGGCCGGTTCCAATTCCATTCTTTTCAACCATCGGTCTTTTCAAAAACCAGCTGTTTCCCCTGGGTTTTTGATGGTTTCCTGAAAAGAAGGATCACATGAAAGAATGGGACAGGTGCCCCTAGAATTAACCCAGTTTGTCTCTGCCGACATCCTGCTACAGAACTTTTAGAGATAAAACACATGTGATCGCGAAGGCATTCCCTCCTGCTCCCGTCACGGCAGCTCAGCTCGTTCTGGCTTTGGCGCCGAATTGAGCTACAACAAAAACGCCTGGATCACCGCCTGGATCATCTTTTTGCCGCGCAGGCACACTCTTTTGAGGGCGCAGTGTGAACCAACCAACTTGGCTATCCAGCACGGACCCCACCCCCGCAAGCCCCAAGCTTGCTGGTTCGGCCCTTACCGGTACCGAAGTAAAGGCGGCCAGGGCCAGTCTTTAGAATCCGAACAAATTCGCCTCGAATCGAGCTCCATGGTGTGAAGTTCGTGCGTGATGAAAACACCCGAGCCGGCCCTTCGACCGCGTGACCGAGACTGGGTAGGATTTGATTCGGGCCTTCAAGCTGAAGGAGATGTGAATTCGGGGCCCGGCGGACTTCTTTTACGAAAGAATGCTGAGCAGCGTCTTGGGACCTCACATGTTGTTTCGTTTCAGAGGGAGGGGGGGCTGCTGCTTCATTCAAATCTGGGGCGTTTGCAGGCCAGTTTTGCAGCTCAGATGTGCATCGTTGGAGTTTATGGGTTTTCGACACCTCTTGACTCTTGACCGAAAGTGGTAGCTGTGCGGCCGATCGAGTTCCGATCATTTGGTAGTTCCCATTTGAATGCAACATGCGCCTTCATCCCGAAAGACCCCCCTGCAAGGACATTCTCCCGCAACCCAGGCCATGCTGTGGACAGTTTTGCCAATCCATTGTTTTAGGCTATGTTGTGGGCATTGCGATGTCACCCCTGAAAAACCAAAGAGGATCTTCTTGGTCCCTTTTTGTTAAGAGGAGATCGCCGCGCTCTGGTATGTGAGGGGAACCTTTTTTGTGACATGCCACCTATGTGAGTTGCTCGCTCCGCCCTGCATTTGGCTCCACGGACAAGTCTCTGCACATTGCGCAAAAGACAAGCGCGACTCGCAGGTCATTTGCTCATGGGCACAGAAGCAGGCGACAAGCCACATGGCCAAGAGGTGGCACAGAGCACTGGTTGAGCCTAGGATGGCCAACAGAAACACCAAATCCCGCAGATATCACGGCGAGGAAGCAGACATAGCCAGCTGCGTCCTATGCTTCGCATCAGCTATTCCAATCGAATTCGCATGAATGGTTTTGGAGATTGACGCAAGTTCCGGGCCAGTTTTGCACGCTAAAAGGACTGCAAGGACCCCCCCCACTCGCGGTGCCACGGAAATTGCTGGACGGCCTGGCATGGTTTGTGCCTGCAAGTGTCCTTCCATTTTCACTTTTTGGCAAGCCCGTGCGCGTGATTGCAAGGGTTTTCTCTTGAAGTATTAAAACATGCAAGGTTTGGGAGATAATTTCAGGCTGGCCCCTGCGAGAGTTTAGCCTTCCGGAGAATCTTTGGCAGTTGATAGCCTTTGCGTGGGAGAAAGCAACGTTTCTGTGTCATGCGCCCTAGCAGCCAAAGGGTACGGCCAGATACTTAGCTACACGTTGACTGGAAGCTACCCTCCCACGAACATGAAAGTGCGCAAGCCGGGGTTCAAAAAGAAAGCCGTCTTTGAAAGACAGGACGCACTTGCGGAGTCGGCCTGGATTTCTGGTTAACATTTGGCTCTTGGTTCAGGTGGCGGCATCTCGTGTTGCTCCCCTTGCCCAAGGTACTTTTGGACTTTCTGGAGAAGAGGGCCGTTTGTCATTTGTGTGGAAACCCGTTTCCTTGCAAGGTGGCAGCCCAGGCGCTTGTTTCTTTCATGAACATGTCAACAGGTGGAGACCAACATTCATGCTGCTTGTACTTCTAGGATTAATTGCTCAACCTGTTGGTTTTAGCGGCTGAGACTGTAGCGACTGGTGTGTAAGTACTTTATGTGTTCTAGCGGCACCTTAAACAATTGGAAGTCATTTGTTTTGACAACAGTCACCTGTTCTCATTCCTCGGTCCTCTGCCTTTTCGGACAGAGGTGCGAGAAACCAGGCATGGAAAAAGAAGAATGCGCACCACCACGGTGCGAATGGGAGCTCTCGGATCTTGCTGGGAGCCACGGGATATGAGCCCAACTCATTTCTTCGGCCAACCCTCTGGGTTCAAAGGAGTGAGATCTCGGATCTCGCGCGAGGTTGGGGAGAAAGGTTGCGAGGTGAAACAATAACTTACCTCTTAAAAACTCAACTTTTCAACTTTTGGGGGGTAACATGGGCTATATGTCTGTAAAAGGTTAACTTCCCCAATCCTTGGAGTTTTAAGGGGTAAGATAAGGGAAGGACCTTCCCTGTGACCCTTTTGGCTTGCAAAGACAACTCCTAGGGTCATTGCAGCAAAACACCCGTCCCGTCGCCGGTCGCTGGTGTTTTTTGCCCCAACTGTAACTCCAAGGCTTTGTCGTGGCTGGAACAAACATCAGCTGCCCACAAATTGGTGGCTTGGATTGGTTTGGATTTGGATTTGAACCCCTGGTTCTTGTAGAGGGTTTCTGCGAAACCACCAACCGTTTCACCCACCAAACAACCGATTCGGCTCCAAACCGCCGATTGTAAGGATTCTGATGGTGGTGGCCAGCTTACTTTTTCAACCAAGTCGACACAATTGGGGGCTTGGACCCAACAGTCGGGGAGGCTGAAAATTTGCAGGTGCAGGGAATGAGTTGGAACGACCCGTCTCTAAACCCTCCAACTGGTAGTTTCCCTTTTTTCGGGGACAGCCTGGGTTCATTCCATTTCGCATTCCCTTTTCCATTTCGCAGCAGCCAGTTTAGCCTCTACTCGCAAGCAAGTTTACCCTCTAGCAACCATGGCTGGAAGGTAGCCTTCCACTTTGAGCCTCTCAGCCCGTTTGGAAGGCCGTTCCCTTGGCCCGGGCAGCTCCGTCGGCCAGGCTCGCTGCGAGCGGAGAAAAGATGCGCGCGGCGGAGAGCGGCGCCCAGCTGCCCGCGCCTCAAAGCAAAGCGCTCCAAACGGGTCTGCCGTCTTTTTGTTGGAGCGCCCCGTTCGTTTTCTTTTTTCTCCCCGGTCTTACAGGGAAAACAGGAAAACCGACGCCATGAAGGGTGCCCTGAAAAGAAACACCCAAATGGGTATGTCTCAAAAACAAAATGAACCTCCCTAGTGTAGGTGTTCCTCTTGTTTCCCTTTTTGACCAACCCCGCCAGGGGGGAACCGAGCCTAAAACACGTAGCCAAATATGAGCTCCAGAATTGTGACTCCTTGTTTCGGGTCCGTTGTGAGCAAATATGAACAAACACAAAGTAGCAAAAACAGGGTGTTTGTTTGTTCGAAGAGTATTCCGACCACAGAACGCAGAACGCACAACCTAACTGGGGGAGTGGGGTTTCTGGAAGCAACTGTTCCTCGAAAAGGACCCTGCGGAAGGGCATGTTTGACAGCCAGGATGTCGAGGTAATACCTCCCTGCCGAAGTCAGGGGTTGACATCATACCCCAACAAGTGTTTGTGGGTGAGGGGGTTCGCCCACAAGTGTTTGTTCTGGGCTCTTTGTTGGGCATTTGGCAATCTCAATGTGGTGTTCACCCGACACAATCAACGGAAAACGGCCTCGATGCAGAGGACAAGAGGAGTGAAAGTGAGATGAGAGCAACTGATACTCGCAAGCGCCAAATTTCCCGCTGAGGAAATCTGTTCAATGTAGGTGCAGCGACCCAACTTAGGAACTTACATCCTGTCAGGCGGGGTCTATGCATGACACAGAATCTGAACTTCATATTTGGTGTGCCCTGGGTTGGGCGAGGTGGGGGTTTGCATTGTATAGTGGATGGTCCGGAAGTGAATCGCCCTTTGGATCCGGCGCCAGTTTCGTCCCAAAAAATGGCCTGAAAAGGTTACTCCTTGCCGCTCCAAATGCATCAATTTTGGATATGAGTGTTCAAAGACCACGGATTTCATTGGGGTCATGCCCTTACAAATGCGGGCATTTGAGACGAATCAGCAACATAAACAACGTAGGAAGTTTTTACTGTTTTGACCGGCCAGGTCGGGAAGTTAGCCCGTTGTATGTGCACATCTCTAAACAGTTCTCCTTCGAAGCAAAATAAGTTAACCTGTGTTGTGCGCCTAGAGGCCAACGATGGTTTTGGAATCATCCCAAAAAATCGGCCTAACTTGGGTTTCGTTCTGTGCAACAACTTGGTTCCAGCAGCCCGCTCAAGGGGGGGGGGACATTCTCTGCCATGGACACTGGGATTTGTTCTTTTTAACGCAGACTTAAGTCTCAAAACGATAGGAGGCAGTTGCAAAATAGACTACCTGGACCACAACAATTCCCTCAACATTGTTTGTTCCCCAAAAGTATCCCATAGGGTCACTTCCTTTTTTTTATGTGCAGTTTGAGGGTCCAGGTATGTATCCGCACGGACATTCTCCCCTCATTTTTGCCCGCCTGAGGCCGCGCTTGTACCATGACGTGAATGCCATGGCCTGAAAGGGAGGGTTTTTGGTGCATGCTGAGAAAACCGGCAATTGGCGCGCAGAGTCGCTCCAACGATCCTGCCAGGGTGGACATTTGGACTCGAACGCCACTTTTCTGGCGTTTTGGTTGGCTGGAGGTTGGGAGCGACTCAAAAAGTGTATTCCCAAAAATTAGCACTTGTTAGCTTCCTTTGTGCTTCCCTTTTAAGACTCATCCCAATCTGGTTCATGTTCGATTTCGGTCGCCCGTTTCATGCAGCATCCTTGTCAAAGAGTCGGTTTTCGTGGGTTTGTTCGCAAAGCTGTGGGCTGCTGGCGTAGCCAGTCACACATCGAGGGGTTGATGGCTTCAACTTCTGCGATGGCTGTACCCGCACCCTTCCCCAGAGCCATTTGCGAACGGCACGCCCCTTCTTTCAGCCCCGAGAGGTTCCGAGTTGCGAGTCGCGAGGGCGAATTCTGGATGACATGCCAGCGAGAAACCCTTAGGACAAAACCGTGACCATGACCTGAGCCGGAGCTGATGCTTCAGGGGATCCCGCTACATCTATGGTTCGCCCTTCGTTTGACCGCAGCCATCCCTGAAACCAGTGCATGGGGATCCCAGACACAATTGTGTTGACATGCAATGGCCGTGCCGCCTGTGATTCCAGTCTAAGAGCCATTTGGCAAGGGAGTTCTCGGATACGTGTCAATGTGTTAGAATGTTGCTTTATGTTGGCATCTACCCTCCCAAAAACAGACATAGAACTTGGCTCCCTGAAAAGGGACATTGTCATCCAGGAACCCTGTGCAGGTTCTATATTTGTTTGTGGGAGGGTAACTAGTTACAGAGCTCTTCTCGAATTCAGGAAAGACTCGTTGCCTGTTTGTTGGCTGTTTGCCTTCGCTTTACTTTGAAAACCAACCATTGAAGGCATTTGAGAACCAATGCCAAACATCGAAGTTTGCCTTTGATTTGATTTACCTGGGACCTCTATTTCACGTTCACTACTGGACATTAATGTTATTTTTAGTTGAGCAAAAGCTGAGGTAGCTAACAACCAACCGAGGGGGTTCTTTTCCAATTGCAGGAAAGGTACATTTGAGCCACTGACAAACATCCAGGTAGTCTGCTGTCTAGTGTTCGTGTGGGAAGACCTTGGGGCCCACCCAAATTTCGCACCAAAAGGGCCCACCCAATTTTCCCATGTCCTCGTGGGGAAACATGCAAGCTTGTCTGGGGCCCATGTGTCGCTGGCGTTTCAACCGCACATCTTTGCTCAGGTCAACCGTCCGAGGGAATACTGGGACTACGAGAACCTCTCAGTGAACTGGGGGTCGGCCGCCCAAAGTGCGCAATTGACAAGTGTCGGAGGGAATGCTAGAAGATTCTTCGCTTTGGATGCGTTTTGCGTCGGTTCCCCCAGAAGCCTGCCCTGCTGGTGGTCATTGAGTGCTCGTTTGGCACTGTTTCAGTATGTTTCAGTGCTGCTTTAATGCCCTAAAGGGATAGATCTGCACAGCATCCAAATTGTACCCCTACTCCCCGCTGTTTAAGGGTATTTTTAATTAGAAAACCCGATTTTCCATGGTAAATAACAAATGATTTTTTTTTTGGGCAAAGGGTTGACATGATACTCTAAAAAATGTGATATTTGGAGTAGGGGTACCCTGCAGGAATGCACCTCTTGAGTTGAAGGCTACAGGTGTAGGCGGGATGCGTTTCCGTCCAAACCCACGATGCCTCCAAGTGACCTTTCCCCTTTTTCCCCAGTCAATTTACCCGAAACAGAGGCGCAGTTGCTTGGGGCGAAACAGGCATCTCTGTGTTCTTGGGTGACTCACAGTTTGCTGGTTTGGTTGCTGCGTTGGTTTTCTTAAGCCGCGTCGTTGCGGTATTGTTTTGGTTGTGTTTTGCTCTTTGGCGCTTCACAGTTTTGTGTGTTGGTAGCTGTTTTGGCGTCTTTGACGCTTCACAGTTTTGATTCGGTGGCTGCTTGGGCGTTGTTCAGTGCTTTACTGTTTTGGTGGCTCTTTGGGCATTCTTTGATGCTTCAGTTGCTTGGGTGGCTTCACAAGAAGCCCACATCTCTTCCTCGCTTTTTTTTTTGAGGTGCCAAGATGATTACGAGGTGATGCGCAAGGTCGGCAGAGGCAAGTACAGTGAGGCCAGCGATGGAGGGTTTGTGCCCTTCCACCCCCTAAAGAACAAAGCAAAAGCAAGCATCAACCGTTTTGGGCTTCCTTCATTTTTGCTTTCAACCAGCATCTGTTATATGCTGCATTTTTTTTCCTTTTTTTAAGGAGATCTGCGTCTAGGGCCCTACCCCCCCAGCCGGGTAGCCAGGGCTCACATTCTACGGCTCACGCTTCATCCGGAGGACTGTACGAATCCAGCAACAACATCCTAATACATATGGCTGTGGCTCAAAGAAGTGGTACCAAAATGGCACCTTGGTAAATGGAACCAATAACTAAAACCTGCGAAACCGTAGCTCTTTAATTTTGAGCCATACCCATATCATTTGTGTAGTGCAGATCAAGCAAACTTTGCTCTTCAAAGAATGGCGGTGAAGACAAGCTCAAGCAGGGTGCAAGTGTCAAACTCTGTTGGGGATTGATGGGACGTGCCGAAATGCCGCGCCGGCCAATTGGCACAAGGCTAAGCTCATGCTCAGTTGTTCAGTGGCACCCTTTTGGTGGCTGCCTTACCAAAAATGGTCTTCCCCAAAAAGGTTTCCCTTTTTTTCCAGGGTCACTGAACTGAGCATGAACTCTTGACCTCCCAACGGCTCAAATAATGGCAGCCACTAAAGCGGCCCGCCAGGGCCCAGGCGCCTTACTCCATATACCGCTGTTCGAGGTATGCGTTGAACGCCAGGTGGCTGGCCAAAAATCGGTACCCCAAATGGCTTGCCGATGGAAACATGGACGATTCAAGCGGTCCAATTCCTTGCTTAATTTTGACCCCGTGCCCAGTTTCAAACTTGCCTCGTTATGGCTTGACATCCCTCCCTTGGGCTTGGAGACACGCATCCAGTAGTTCCCCAGCTTGCGAAGGGGAATGACTTCACAGGCCCAATGTTTCGTGTGTCTAGGTCCCCCAGTGGTGCCCTGTTACCCGTTTTTTGGGGGAGGGTTCCCCTACTAAGATAGACTACAGAAAAAAGTTGGTAGCCTTATTCTAACCTCTCTACTGGAGGTGAAACCCCCCAGTTTTGGCAGAAGATTGGTGGCCGGTGTCCTGCTTCCCGATCCAGGGTTGCCGTGGAGCTTTCTTTGGCAGTCGGGTCGAATGGGAGCAACCCCCAAGCTCCTCCCAGTCCAAATGTTCGTGCTGTTGTGTTTGTTTGTTTTTGTGTTTCTTTGTTTGTTTTGGTTGGGGGAGGGAGGGGTTGCGGGGAGGGGGTAACAGTCGAATCTCACCTATTTGGTCGTTCGAAGCCACACAGTTCCTGCCGACATCAACCATCCCTCGTGCAGGTCTTCGAAGGCATCCACATGGCCTCCCAAGAGAAGTGCGTCATCAAGCAACGGGCCCCAGACGGCCATGTTGCGCCCTCATGAGTCGCGTGATATTGTATTAGCCGCCGGGGGTTGGTGCCCCCCCATGTAAGTTGGGAAGATTCTCTTTTTGACACTGCAGCTGGCCTTTTGTGCTCCAAGTGGGTTTTCCAAGAAACCCAAGCAGTCCGAAAGAAATGCTAGGTCCCCCAGTAGTGCCCTTCTCTCCCCTTTTTTGGTTGGGCGGGTTCCCCTACTAACATAAACTACCGAAAAAAGAAACGGTAGCCTTATTCGAACCTCTCAAATCTGGAGGACCTAGAAAAAGACAAAGTCTTTACCCTTGGCAGCCCGGTTTGTTCTGAATGCCCCAAACAACAGATATTTGCAGTAGGGGAATGGGTGGCCCTGGGCTCTCTGGCTGCAGGCTCCAGGCAGCGCCTTCCGAGGATTCTGAAGCCTGTGAAGAAGCAGAAGATCAAGCGAGAGATCAGGCTGGGGACTGGGTATTTGGCGGATTTGTTTGGACTTGCTTGACATCATGTTTTCCGTTTTTTTGGTTTTACTTAAGATGTGACTTTGGTTGAACTTGTCTCTACTGCTGTTGGCTTGGATCTTTAGACTTCAACTTTTTTGAGGATTCCCCTCATGTTTCCTTGTAACCAGCAACAAGTTGAACTTTTTGCTGGGGGATCTACAGCACCCAAGTTGTTTGACATCATGTTTCGTTCTTCGATTTCACTTAAGAAGTGACTTTGGTTGGGATCAGACGCCGAGGTAGACTAAACCAAGCAGGTGAAGAGGGGGTCAGCGGCTGAGAAGACTTAGTGGGGATTCCCCTGCTCTTTCTCTTTTTTGCTGCTTGTTTGGGCAAAGTTTCGTTGGTTTCCTTTTGGTGTTCCTGACCATCCAGAACTGGGGTCCCCAAGAAGGACTCGTGCATTTGTCTTCTAAAAGCGACAGGGAATTTGTTACTCTTAGGATATTTGTTTGTTTGTTCAGTCCCTTTCGTTTGATATCCATTAGGGGAATGGCACTGAAATGAAATGGACGGCAAGTCTCATGTTGTTTGGTGCCACAAACAAGCGCAAAATGAAGGTCTTCAGTGGGAAGAGGACCTTTTCTACCGTCCCTTGCTTTTGTTGGGGCACATATATATATATATATATATAATATCTATATATGTATCATGGTCGCGCGGGGTGCACATTTCCAATTTTTCGACCTCACCTTGGGGGTCCATGCGGGCCACCGCTCTTGTCAAAAGGTGGGTTTTCTGCTTTTCTGGGCTCGGTGGCTCGATGCGGTCAACCAAATGCTCGATGCTTCCGTGTGTCTTTTCCATGCTTCATGCTGCTTTCCCCGGAAGGGCCGGAGCTTCCCTCTCTCCGAGGAATTCTAGTAGCTGTGAATCACCTGGTCTGTTAGTGACATGGCTTTCAGTGCGTGGCTGTGCTTTTCTCAGAGAAATCAACAGTGGGAGCTGCCTTTAGGTGTGCCAAAATAAACAGTAGGTTGCTGTGCCGTGCCCCTCTGCACTCTACCAAACGTTTCCGTCTCCGTTTGGGGAAAGGCCAGCAACTGGCGATCCAAGTGGGTGTTTGTGCCAAACACCGTCTTTTCAACTTTTAGGGAGAACTAGACTGAAGTTTAAAGAAGGAGTTGAACTTCGATTTTCTGGATACCCATACTTTGAACTACTGGTGGAGTCGGAAAAAGAAAACACATTTCGGTTTGTTTGGCTGTGCCAGGATCCTGCAGAACCTCTACGGGGGGCCCAACATCGTGAAGCTGCTGGACGTTGTCCGCGATCCGCAGTCGAAGACTCCCAGCCTCGCTCGGCACTCGGCACTCGGCCGACGGGGGCTCGGGACCCGGTGGCCCAGCAATTTTTGGTTCAAGGAGCCGTACAGAAACCATGCGTCCAGCGAGCTGATCGGGAGTTCGTTGCAGAGGCATGGGAGGCTTTTCTCCGGGCCCAGTTTGTGTATCACTTGAAAGCACAAGATTAAACAAAACAAAACACCTTGGTGTCAGTTTTTCAGAGGAGCGCCCTTTTGCCGCTTTGGGTCAAGGTGCACCTTGATTCAATACTACATCGCACTCCCACGGTCCCCTCTCCATGGCCTTGGAAAAAGGGCACCCCTGTCCATTTCGGCCAAGCAGGGCCCCTGCTTTTCTCGTTTTGGGCTTGTTTGGCCAACCATCTTTGTGCTACCAGGGCCCCTGAGACACAGGTCTCGGGCCGTGACATCAAGGGCCATGTTGACCCTTGAGGGCATCAGAAGTGACAGCGGGGTTGACCAACAGGGCAACGCCAACTCTGACCCGGGTGTGTCGAGGAAGCCAGGAAATACGCATTAGTTCAAGTGCATATAGAGCACAACGATGCACGGCTCAGACCAAAGGGTTTGCGGGCTGAACCAGTACGACGGAAGCGACGAGTTTTGGGTGGTGACCAAAGAGACAGGCCGAAGACAGGAGTCCCAAAGCTATGAGGAGCTCCAGCGGAAGGAGTCTGAGGTTAGGGACCAGTTGGTCGAACACCGCGGGCAGTCACCGCGGGAATCCTGCGGGACGTAGCGCTCGACGTGAATCCGCGAATTGCCCGATTTGGGAGGGCCGATCTGAAGAGCCGTTTGATTGCCATTTGGGTGTTTCTCAAACGTGGGGATCCCTCCAGGTGGTTTTCTCAGGGTTTCCCCGCGGTTCCATCCAAAAAGGGGGTCCCTATTTTGAGAAACCCCCATTTGCTCCATAGTTTTCTTGGCTTTTGGGAATGGCCGTGCCAGCCAGATGGATCCACTGCAAGAGCCAGGGAAGAGGTGGGATGACTGGGGATTCGTCCTTTCATGCTTTTTCCCAGCCGCCAATTGCCTATTTGTTTGTTTGCCTGGAAGTTTGTTGAAGTTTGATGTGCCCCCTTGGTATACATACTTCTGGTTTGGTATATCCTCTCTTTTGTTGTTCTTTCCCTTTTTAAATATGTCCTTTCGGGAAAACTCTTGTTTAATGCGTGTCTGGGATTGTGTTGCTAACGACTCATGCTTGCTTCAATACTAGGAGGCTGTCTCGATGCCTCGTTTGGACTGAACATGATTAGCACCTCATGCCGACATGAAGCATCCAGGATTACAAGTCTTTTTCCCACGCAAATGAAGGAGGGACCCCTCTTTACGTGACCCCCCCCTACTTTGCATGAAGGGGTACTCCTGGGTTCCCATCCAAGAGCGGCCCCCGCGCCCCAAGATTTTTGAGTACATCAACAACACCGACTTCAAGCAGCTGTATCCCACCCTTACGGACCATGACATTCGGTACTACATCTTCGAGATCCTCAAGGTGTTCATCCGGAGTGCGGGAGTTGGGAGTTGGCTGGATCCTCGAAGCCCAGGCGGCATGTCAGTTACATGGAGCATGGACACCTCGGGATAAACAGAGACACAGAAGAAAGACCTTTGAAGCATCAACAAGCCAGAAACACGAAATGCGAACAAGTCCGCACAAATCAAAGCAACCGTCGACAGCAGTCCTTTCCGGTTTTCCTTCCGGCCGTTCCCGAACCCTTTTAGCTTTTCATGGATTGACCCTCTGTAGATTGGAACACAAGAATACTCAAGCCGGAACTCATGTGAGCGCTCATGTGCTTTTGGCTGTTCTCTTCTGATTAGCAACCTTGGGGGGAAGCCACAGGTAAAGTATGGCTGGATGTGGGTCGTGTATATTGGGTCTATAGTTGGGTCATAAATCTATACAGTGGTAAATGTTGCATAGTTACATGCGGCTGAAGCATAGTCAAATCTAGGTGACCTATCGGTACATACCAATGAAGTTGAACACCATATCACTTCGAAACAAGCTTTCCTGTCCTTTTTGTCTTCTATGTGTGGCAAAACATTTGTTTCAACAGCTGCAGTTGGTCGATTCCGAATCTCATTTCACTCCTTTAACCCATCTACAAGGCTTCCATTGGCACAAACCGCAAGAAGCTCATCTTGGTCAAAGCAGCTCACCCGATGATGACGTTGCTTGACCAGGGCATGGTTGGTGAATTGTTTCGCTTCTTGTGCAGATCCTTCTTGCAAAAGCAGCACTTGGGGAATTTAGCCCTGGCTGGCTTTGGGGGACGAGCAATTTGGCAGGGACTGGCTACTTTACTGCGGGTGAATAGCCCTGAATTACCGTATATTTTTCCTAGAAGGCTGTTTCTATTTTGTTCAGACCTCCTATTTAGCACCTGGTTTTCTCCACATCAACACGCCTTTAGAATGCAGTTTGTGAGGTCAGACCAGCCCACCTGCCCGTTTTAAGCTCGCCTGGGTTGCAGCTTCTCTCACAAATAAAAAAGTGAACCATGGACTGGGGTTGTGGGGCACTGGTCAAATTTGCTCATTCCAACTACCCGCAGAAAGGGATCTTTCTGTGTAAATCTGTGTGCCTACCGTTAGGCCAGACGTCGACATTTTCTAGTGGGTTGGAGTAGGGATTTCCCTGAGAGGTCGCAGGACTCATTCTAGGGGTACCTTGCCCATTCTTGCCAGGGATCCTTCTTTCTAGAAAACCTCCGGAAACCCAGGGAGAACGGCCGGTTTTTGGAAAGAACGATGCTTGAAAAGAATGGGGAATCAACCCCTAGACTCATCCCATAAGCCTCAACCAAGGCCGCAACAACGGGTTGATGCCTTGCTGTGCATATAGCGATGGGCCACAGATCGATCTGGGCGCATGTTGGAAAGGACGCGCACGAGTGTGTCACGTGCCGGTTGACAACCTGATCCGATTTTGGATCTACATATGTTTCATATCTTTTGCATGTGCTTAGGTGAGCTCGCCTTGGGGGTCTACATGCGGGGCACGATTTTTCAGTTGTTCCTTTGGATTCAAAGCGACCCTTTCTTGGGTTCCAAGGGCCAGCGCTTCGGCGCTGGAGATTTTCGAAGGCATGCCCCCCAATTTGGAGACGGCAAACCACAGACATTTGTTGCAGGGTGCCTTTTGTTACGTTGTTTGACAGAAATTCCTGGGAAACCAAGCCAGGAATTTGGGGAACCCAACTATGGACGTACGCAGCATGGGCAGTTTTCAAGGAAACATACCATGGTTGCTTGATGCTCCTCTACCCTGGAAATCCACGACTGTTTTTTTAAACGTCCTTTGCACCTCGCCTGTTTTTTGCAGCTAAAGCCTGTTTTTTGCGCCTGCAATGAGCCATGGCGTGGTATTTGATGGATGTTTCATACTGTTGCCACGTTTAGATTCTACAAAGCCTGTTCCACCCCAACATGTCTTGACACAACAATTTTGGTGTGAACATAGCGGTCCGGGATGTACGCAAAAGTAGCGTGAAATCACCGTGAAAATACCGTGAAATTGGCGTGAAAGCCTGTTTTCCAGCGTGAAAGCACGTTTTCTGCCGTGAATTTTGACACCGGTGAATCTTTGTGTTTCAGCCTGTCCTTTGGTAATCCCTCCGCTTGTTTTGTGGGAACGGAGGTCAAGTCTTTGCACACTTTGGTCCTGAGCACGTGCGGCGCCCGAATTGTTCAATGATATCAGCTGAGCTTGGACAAAACTACTCCTGGCAAAAAACCGCCTTTCACAGAAAGCATGCAAAATAAACCGCCTTTGGAACCCCAGGGTCTAGATGCACAAGCTCCTACTTCGCACCGGGTAGGTGCACGATCTTCAGCAGGGTTTCATCCACTCCAAGGGCCAGCCGGTGCCTGCGGATGTTCGAAACGCGTTTTGTGGCCCGCCAGGCGCTGGACTATTGCCACTCCCAGGGGATCATGCACCGGGACGTGAAGCCCCACAATGCCGCACGCCAAGTCGGCAGCCACGCCGGAAGCAAAAAACGCCACGGCCTGGCGTCCGCCGGAAAGTCGCCACTGGCAAGCCAGGCGGTTGACAACAAATGGAAGGGGGGCACGCCCATGTCTGGGGAGCACTCACCCGGGAAAACAGCCGGGCCCCCATCCATGAGGTTCATGAATTGGTGAACACGGGATGAGCAGCACGGTTTACTTCACGAAACAGCAACTGAACCCCCCACACGTTGAGAATCTACGTGGGAGTACAATTTCAAGAAGCCGCGGTGAAAACAGCAACGGGAGAGGAGAATGAATCCTTCGGGTACGGACAGGGCTATGCTGCTGGTTTGGTTCGCCAGCTCGTGCAAGAGACGTGTGCAACTCGTTTCGAAAGGAGGTGTAGACCTGAGAACAGTTGCTCAAGTCACACGCTGGGCTCAGGGTTTGGGTCCAAGTAACAGGTAATGACAGACGAGCCATCCACGAGCGCCACAAACTCTAACAGGCTTAGCATGACTGCTTCCACATCGCCCTTTTTGGTGGCTTTTGCCAGCAACATCATATTGGGGTGAATTGTTTTCAGGGTGTTTTTTTTTGGGGACCACCCACTTGCGCCCCTCCATGTGGAGGCGACGATCTCATATTTATCGCGCGTTGTGTATCGCGTGTTAGAAGACAAGTGACCTTCATCAGGGTCTTCCTCGTTCCATCCGCCCAGACACATCCAGGCCTGCTTGGTGACGTGGTATCAAAAGCTAATTGGCATGGACCTATGAGCCTTCGGCCATGTGAGGCCAAGCATCCTCACTGCTCTTGGCCTGTTGCAAGAACATCTGATGTTAGGCCACTTCCAGTGGCTGTCAAACAGCCGTTGAAATAGCCCACGGAGGGATCACTTGGCAAGCCAGCTGGCAGCCATTGGGGTTTGGGTTGGAGATGTGTTGCACTTTTGGCTCTGTGACATGGCCATGGGCTTTTCAAAATCCAAATCGATTAGCCCCCAGTGAACATCCGATTCAATCCCCACTAAAATCGGTGGTGAATTCACCTAACCCAAAATGGGATCCCATTGGTTCTGACCCACAGCCACATGGCTTGAAGAGCTTCTGCCCTTTGCCTTACTCCAAAGTTAACGTCCCATCTTAGGGGTGCAGCCCAGGTCATGATCGACCACGAGAATCGGCAGGGCCCCCGGCTGATTTTGCTCCTTGCGCTGCTGACAACCGCGCTCTTGGGGCAGGGCTCCCCAAGGAACTTAGTCTAGGTCCCCCAGTAGTGCCCTTTTGCCCTTGTTTTGGGGAGGGTTCCCCAACTAAAATGGACTACACGAAAAAAGGGTACCCTTATTCTAGCCTCTCCACTAGAGGACCTAGATGGGTCAGAGAGCAAGGCCAAAATCCGCGAAAAGCAGCGCGGGGGTTGCCCTGGCGAGGGTCGCTGTCAAGAGTCTGCGACGGAGCTGGTTCGGAAAGGCTCGTTCGGTTTTTTTTTGGCATCGCGGCGTCCTGGATGGTTTTGCGAAGCCGGTTTTGTGACGCAGGGTTTCTGAACTTGTCTGGGCATATGGGGCCCATATGGGGATGTATCAAGATCATGACTCCTCAAAATAGCAACCGTCGTTGGGTGTTGGTTTCTGTTGGTGCATCATGGTGGAAAGGCCAAGAGAACCCCCTTTCGAGTGGTACAGTAGTCATGGTTGGATGGGCATTCGTGGTTCACGGAGACAGAACAAGGGCCATTTTCCGCAATACTCTTCACGCCTGGGTGATGCTTGCCACAGAGCCACTTGGCCGAGGAAGCTGCGACTGATCGACTGGGGTCTGGCAGAATTCTATCACCCCGGCCGCGAGTACAACGTGCGAGCCGGGTCCCAAGGATTTTTTGCCAGAGACCTAAGCCTTCGGCCAATGCTCAAGGACGAGGGGCCAAATAGATTCGCCAAGGGTGAAATTTCTGAAATTGCGGAAACATGGTCCAGCCCCCAGATTTGCAACCTGTAGGGACCTTGTTTCACTGAAGGTGGAACTCGCAAATTTCTCGATGCCGATTGAGGTCCGATCGAAAAATCTGCTATGACTGAGGCTGAAGCCTGGCCCAACCCAAACTCTCTGCGTTTTTCTTTGGCTTTCCAATCCCTCGTCGTTTATGGCACGTGTTTTTTTGACATATTCTACTCGTGCTGGGGTACCGTTTTCGGGTTTCAAGGGGACAACCCGCCCATGTTGGGGCTGGCCTTCTACTCATCGAAAAGCTTGCTTCTGGAACTCACTTGAAAGCGAAGCGTTCAGATTTGACCAATGGATCGTATTGAAGGTGTAGTTGGTTAATTTGGTCCTGGAGTCCTTTGGTTGAGGAAATTCCAGCCCGGATCCAAACGAGCACCAGGATTCCCGGGTCACATTTCCATGGCGACTTATGCAACTTTCATGGTTAAAGATCCCGAAGCTCGCCAAAACACACCTTGCTTTTGGTTGGCTTTAGTCCTCCCAAGACCTGCATTTCACTCAAACTTCAAGCTGCGGCCACCGGGAGGCTCCAGGGAAACTTGACTCAAACTCTCCCGCAGGTTTGCCAATGAACTTCAGTTTTCTTACTTCCCCAGCCTTTCTTCTTGCAATTGTTGGCACCCCCCAAATCCAGATAGAAGCGCAACATATTTTTAAGAAAAAGGCGGTTTGAGGGTGCGAGGGGCGTCCAACTGTGGTCATGCTTAGACAGGCCGCAACCCCCTCAAGTTAATCCTCCTGTAAGCTTTGTAACCAGGTAAGGGTTGAAGAGCACTTTGCACCACTCAAACGACATGTATTCTTATTTTACGGTTCACCAAATCTGATTTGCAGAGTCTCAACTTGTGTTCTGTTGGGAAAAAGAGACACGCGGATATATGTCTTGCGATACCCAGAAAAACAACGTTGAGGATCGCACGCCGTTCGCCCAGGGCCTGAGCCGTCGTAGTCGTCGCTCGCCGTCGCTCGGGCGAGGGTGAGTCCCTGCGCGACCGAGGTGGCGTCGAGGTACTACAAGGGCCCCGAGCTGCTCGCCCGTGGGCTCAGAGAGACTCGGGCGCTTTTTCGTGGGCTCAGGGGAGATTTGGGCGGCGCGTCTTTTTGGTTTGTTGGGATTTGGGAAATCCCGCAACAAAATGGCGATGTTCCAATTTTGTCTCCCTTGAAACCAAAAGGGTGCCAGCAAAAAAAAGACGAACCGTGTCTCGTCTTGGAGCCTTGGGCGCCGTTGAAGGTTTTGCAGGTCGGGAACACTGGGCTTGCTTGGCCCTTGATGCGGAGCCCGGGGATGGGAATGAATCTCACCGCTCGACCCAGCGCCATGCAGTGCGAACCTGTGGGTCTCCCTATGAGCAACTTCCAAATCTGTCCAACAAAACAATAAACAGCAGTTTGGTAGTTTCCTTCCCATGTCTGGTCGCTGGCCGGTCGGTGAGCCCATCCTAAACCCCCCACCGTCTCCCTGAATTATGAACACTCCAAATTTGTCCAACAAACCCCCCACCCCAGCAGTTTGGTAGTTAGGTAGTTTCCTTCCCCAGGTCTGGGGAAGGTGCGAGGGTCGGTCAATCGGTCGCTGGCCGGTCGGTGAGCCCATCCTAGAGCTCCCACCCTGAACCCCTAAACCTCCCTCGAGCTGACTAAGCCCACCCTACGCGCGCCCTAAGCCTTGCTCAAACCCACCCTAAATCCTTTCCCTTCCCCAAACTTACCCTAAGCCCACCTGAACCCCCCACCGCAATCCTTTCTACGCCCGCCGTAAACCTACCCGCAAGCCCACCCCAAGCAGATTCTAAATCTCCCTAAACCCAGGCCAGCCATCTGTCCAAACCATTCCTGGTGGATTCATGTGAAAAAGCCGCCTCTCAGGCAGCCTCCTGCAGGGTTGGGCCAACTCGAAAGCAATGCTCCAATGGCTGGGTCAAGCATAGGAATCCAAAATGGAACCCTGGTAAGTGTAAACACGGACTCAAGCCTGCGCTTTTCTGGCGGCTTAATTTTGACCCAGAACTAATGAGTGTCTTTTTGGTTTCCTTCAACGGAGGCCAGGGGTCTTGTTGAACAAGCCTGGAGACGCCTCCGGTGACCAAAGAACATCTGCAGACCCGCTGGATCAACTCGGATTTTAGTGACAGGTGGGGTTATCTCAAAACAGAAATCCGATCCTGACAAGTGGGTGTGTGTTTTTCTCCGGGTATGTGTTTCCCCTTTAAAGCCACCCCAAAACCGGGTACCAACTCCCAAAAATGGAAACACGACGAGCCTCCGAGGTGGACCTGCAGCTGTACGACTACTCCCTGGACATTTGGAGTTTGGGGTGCATGCTCGCCGGCATGGCGCGGCAGCCGAGGGAAGTGGTTGGGAGCTGCCAGGTCAACGTTTTTTTTTTTTTTTTTTTTTTTTTTTTTTTTTTTTTTTTTTTTTTTTTTTTTATAAGTAATAATAAAAAACTTGTTTTTTGTATCTCTGGGCGCCGAAAAGCATGCCAAGAATGGTCAATTTGCCCAAATGAAACGGAGCCCGCCAGTTTCACCCTGGTAGTCGGGGAGCGACCTTACTTTTTGAATGGGGGTTCATCGATATTCCGGCCCCAAATGACCCTTGGCAACTTTTTCGGGTGGTGCTTTCCCATGATCCCAAAAGGACCTTGTGATCAACCCCTATAGAGCCACTGGTGGCTTGGGTGTACTGGACACCCTGACTTGCCGTGGGCGGCAACATGTTTGTTTTTCTGATCCCTTTGGGCCCGGATCCCCGAGCCATGAGAATCCTGGACCAACATGGCGATCCACAAGTTCTCGGGGTCATTCTATATATATATAGACATATATATATATATGTATATATATATATATAGGCAACCAAGCATTTGGTGTGGGTGCCAAAGCCAATTTCGAAGCAGAACATGAGGGACTCCTCTTGGAATGATGTGCGAAGGGAAATCAAACGCAGACCTACCAGTTTTGTAGTTTCTGTAATTCTAGGGGAACTCGCCCTGCAGCCCCCAAACACGCCCCCCAACAAAGACCAAACTAGACCATTGTTGGAGGCGTGTTTGGGGGCTCCTAGGCAAAGCTCCAAGAGAATCACGGCTCCTGGAATGCTTCCGGATATCAACTTGCTTGTCGGGTACTATGAAGTGCCACATACTTTTGCAGAACTCGAGGAAAAGAACATAAGCAGCCGCCACTCAGAATGAAATGCATGGCTACATGGGCCATGGTGCGTTCAGCTCAAATGGGGGGGGGGTTGGTCTATTTGGCCCTTGTAGGTGTTTTTCAAAGGGTAAGCGAAGGTATTCATTTGCGGTTCCCAATGGCTTATGCAATGAATTACTCACCTGGGCTTGTGTCGCACTTCATTGCTCGTGATCGTTCCTTGGCGAAATGAGGTCTTCAAGAAGGAGCCGTTCTTCCACGGTCAGGACCAACGCTGCCCTCACTGAAAAATTGGACCCCCTCTTCCCATTTTAAGATTGCTTCGATGAGAGCCGCAAGCGAAAACGCCTTGGGCCGAGCGAAGAGACGACCAATGCGTCAGGACAACTACGACCAGCTAGTGAAGATCGCGCGAGTGCTAGGCCGGGTCCATGCCGAGGCTGTCCATGGAATCCTGAGCACCATAGGCAACCACTTGGACTTTCACTTTAGTTTCTTCGAATTGTTTCCCTTGGTTGCCTATGGAAACTGGAAGCACTGGGTTGGTACCTTTTGGGGCAGATGAAACCACCAGTTGGCGTGTCTCCCCTTTTGATGGGGAGTTGAAACTCGAAAGTGACAAAAGTGGGATTTCTCGGCTATGTATTAGGTGCCACACGAACCCGAAGTCAATGTGACGCGCGGATTCATAAACCCCTCGGCTGGTTGAATTTGCCCTGAGGGTGCAGTGTTTTTTCTCCGAGTGGCGAGCGAGCGAGCAAAAACACAAACAAACAATCAATCAAACAAACAAACAAACACACAAACAAGAAGCAAACGGGGCCACATGCCAAGTGGGGTGGTGCTTTTTTGTTTTACCCCTGGCTTCTTTTCCAACGCTGCCTTTGCCACAAATGGCCAGAGGCATAGTCATTCACGCCGCACGCCTGTATGTGATCCAACCCGCACCGCAGGCACCGATGGCTTGTTTGCATACCTGGACAAGTACAACCAGGAGCGGCTGGTGCAAAATGCGCCCGCAATCTTCAGTTATTTGCTTTTTGGGGGATATTCCGAAAGAACTTGTTTTTTTGGTCACAGTGACCTTGTCCTAAAAGGGCTTGATATATTATACTCTCAAACAACTGGGTATTTTGAGTAGGGGTGCGTTTCACTAAGTATGCTAGGGCTTCACAGACGCTCAGGGTTCCACAACCAACCGCTTGTGGAACCCTAGGGAAACGTAAATGCGTCAGTGCGAAAAAGAACAAGAGCCATGCACAAAAACAAGCCTAGAGAGCCACATCACCGCTTTGTTTTCCAGGCACTTTTCGTTTACAAACCGTCGCGGTTGCTTGGGATGAAACGAACCAGCTGCACATTTCGATCCCTCCGCAGCTGTGAGGAGCTTGACCCGCACTTCGACCACATCTTGGGGAGGTTCGGCCGCCTTGAGTGGAATCGCAGAGGGTTGCCGGTTTGAAAATCCAGAGACGAAGCATCAGGGCCTCAGCGAGCCTTCGGGTTGGGCTTCGGGGGCGTTTTTTTTTGGGTTAGCGGCCCCGGACAAAGGAGCAAGCCGGGCCCATCCACCCAGGCCGGAAAAATGTTTGCCTTTCCACGTGGCCAAACGTCTAGCCTTCGATCCAATTGCAGACTGCGACACATGACCTTCAGCGGCATCTAGACAGCCGAAGCTGCTCAAGTCAAATAAGTATCCGCCTAGTAAAACCATGAGTTTAGCCAGAATCACGGTCATCTTATTTGTTGATTGGATTTACATCTAAAGCGGGTACCAACCATGAAGTTCAACCTAGTAATCCCCTCCCCCTAATAATTCCACCCAGCCGACCCCCCCCCTTCATAGGCTGAGGCCCCTTTTCCGGGTGATAACTTGGGGAAGCAAGGTGGGGCTTGGATATGGCGGTGGTTGTCAACACCAATGGGATCCCATTTTGGTTGGTAGGTGAATTCACCACCCATTTTAGGCTTCCTATTTTAGTGGGGATTGAATCGGATGTTCACTGGGGGCTAATCGATTCGGATTTTAACCCATGGCCATATGAGCATAAGCTCACAAGAAGCCCGGAACCCTATAAGCTGGCGATGGCAAGTTGGACACTCCGAGGCTTCTGAGCTTCAGTGGGGGTTAAAGGCTACAACCCCCGGGCCCCGCTGGCGTTTGCTTTCGGTGTATGTGAGCCCCAGGCTCAAAAGAAGGAGTTTACCCCGGCGAACACTTGAAAACGCCTTGCTTTCCAGACAATGCCCGAGACTCTAGGCGACGATACCCCCGCAGTTGCCAAAGGAATTGGTGGCGTTGACCTGTCTCCTTCGGTTGTTCTGCATGGCCCCATCTTCTACGTTGGTAAGATGGCCGTGGGTCAAACATAGGGGTATCCCCAAAATGGGGTTGCCCTGATAAATGGAACCGTGGACTAAACCCTGCGGTCCATATCCCGGTGGTACTAAACTTGACTTATACCCAGATCGAGTCAGTGGATCGCTCGCCAGGCACTCTAGAAAGGCTTGGTCCAAATTCGTGACCTCCGACAACCAATACCTGGTGAGGCCGCTCCATCGAATTCCGCTCGCGTGTTTGGTCGGATGCCTTTGGATCGATGCGCGTCTGGTATTTTTTTTTGTTGGGGGGGACACCCAGTTTGTCGGAGTTTCAGGGGTCGAAGTGGCTGTGGTGAGGGAATGTGATGAGCACTTGGGGAGACAGGCTTCCAAAGCATGCACCGAATGCAGGAGCGCGGTAGTTGTTTCTACTGCCAACCCCCTTTGTACCATTTCAAAGCGACGCCAGCGTGAAGCAATCATTACCATCTGTTTGGGTCAAGGCCCAGCATCACAGTACAGTCCGGTTGCTTCATGGTTCAACCCATGCCCAACGGGTGCTGCTCTCATTCCCAAACCCTTTTCGATTCGTGTTCAGTTCAGCACCGCTTGCCAAGGAGTCAATCAGCTATGTTTATTGATCTTATTGGGTCTTGTTTTCTTCCAATAGAGCGGTGCGATGTCATTTGGCATCAATGGAAGTCACCCGTTAAACCCCTAAGGGAAACACCATGTAGTGCTGGAGGCACTGCACTGCATGAATCGTGGCATAGATCTCCATTTCAGGTCGTTGGTCCTAACCATTTACCAGCGGAACCCGTGGATTCCGAAATGGGCACACCTAGCGGAAGCACCATTGTGGATTCGCCAGTTTGGATGTGCTGGACCTCATAGATCGGATGCTTGTCTACGACCATGCCGCAGCCCGAACTCGGGTTGCTCGCGCAAGAGATTTGACGGTCGAGGGGTGCCTTACACGGCCCAATCCGCTTGGGTGGATGGGAGCCATCTGAGACTTTGTCCAGGCTGCACATCCCCCAAACCACCCCGCCCATTCCGGGAAACATGTCAAATCACTGTTAGAATGCCCCGCGTTCGACGCACATTCGGAGCATTCCTTGGTTGAATGGTTGAAGAGACTTTTTGGCGGTGGTAGTTATGTATTTGGGTGTGTCTTTTTTGGAGTTGGTACCCTTGTTTGGTGGTTTAAAAGGCAAGCCAACAGGAACACTCACCCATGTTGGGGGGTCCAAAGCACAAAAAACCCAAGCCACCCATGTCCTTTTTTGGGGGTCACTGAGCCTCGCCCAGCTCCTATTGTCTATGGGAGCGTTTCCTGGAGGATTCGAATCCTGAACCGCGCGTTTGGTTCCTCGGGCAACCCCAACCCAAAACAGCCAACATCAGCAACGGTCAACATATTTAAAGGTTGGACTTGCCAAATGTCCATTGAGTGGGAGTATACCACTCACCAGGTTCCCATGCGAACACGGGGGCAATCAAGAATGCCCGTGGCTCATACTGGTATGGTTGTATTTGTTTTTAAGTGTCTCCTCCATTTTAAGGCTGTTTGAGCGAATCCCAAAGAGTCATCCTTGTTTCCTCATGCGACAGATCCATATGGGTGTCCCTTTTTGGGGTAGCCTTTTTTGGGGGCCGTTTTCAAAGGGGAATTCACCATTTTTTGGGGGGTCCCTAAAAAAAGACAGCCCTATGAGTGATTTTTTTGCTTGATGGCCCCTTTGGATTGGTGGCCTTGCCATTTGGGACGCCAATTCTTTGGTGCATTTTGCTTGGATGTTAGGACTTTAGCTTGTTGCCAACCACTGGGTTTTCCATTAAACCCCTCAAAGTGATTCACTTTTCGCGGGGGTTTGCAGATTTCGCCGAGAAGTTCCGAGACCCCGAGGCGCAGCGTGTGCTGCCGACGGAGGCGATGCAGCACGCCTACTTCGCGCAGATCCGCGCGGGGCCCAACGGCCCGGGGCCTCGGTTGGCCTCGGTTGGTGGGGGGCGGTTTGTGCAGAATGCTTTTCGGGCGGAAGGGCTTGGTGCCAGGAGAAGGTGCTAGGGTTTGGTTTCACAATGGTTTGGTGGTAGGGTTTGGTTTCGGAATGGTTTTGATTTCAGAATGGTTTGGTTTCAGTATGGTTTCAGAATGGTTTGGTTTGGTTTCAGGAGAACATAGTTTTCACAAATCAGAGAACTCATAGGTACTACAGGGGGTTAGCCAGGATAGCCCCTGCTGAGCAAATACGAACCGTTCCGAGTTGGACAAATGTTAGGTTTTCCATTCCCGAGAGCTGAACGGAGGGCAGCAGAACACGCCGCCCGAATCTGGAAAAGGATATAAAGACTGATTCCTCCAACTACACGACCCTTTCTTTGGTTTTTCTTTCCAACACACAGGCATAAGGTGAATACGCGTTTTGAGTCAGGGGTACCATACCCCAAGCATGTAGGTATTTGGATTGGGGGCCTCTTGACCCTCGGGGGCTGGGGCTCGTTACCACGTTCTGCCAAAGGAGTATCCTTTTGTTGAAGGGAGAGAGTGATGAATTACCCCTCCATAGGTTGACCAACAGAGGTTTGGGTGGACTCACCTGCGAGTCGACCTGATCTCACATTTGGCCTTGCGCATTTTCGCAGCGGTGTGTGAGCTATGGTTCAGCTTAAGACTTCTTGCTGTACCTGCCGCATGTTTTCCAACCTTTCGCTTCAGCGAACTGCCCTTGGACGTCTCAGGAGGCGAGCCTGGGGCACGGGCCCCAGTGGGGTTTCTCATATCTCCAGCCAAAAAACCTGCTTTGTTTTTGTGGGCGTTTGCTCGAACATCTGCGCGCCAAGGTGGATTCCTGTGTTTCTGGTCAGGGTGGATGTCGTATGTTGTTGAAATGGTGGGTATTTGGAGTAGGGAAACCCAAAAGGGGCTCTGGGGAGCTCAGAAGAATCTGCAACTTGGGAACAGCATTCGGTTGGGGCAACTTGGGTTCACTTCAACTCAGAGGGACCTTCATGTGACAGACAGACTCTGTGAAAACAAAAAAAAACGACACTCATGGCAACTCCGGGCAGGTATGGCAGGTCTTTGAGACCTCTGTTTCAGACACCCCACAGGCACCAAGTTTTGGGAGGTTTGGGGTTTTGCCTGTTTTCTTCGACACAAAAAACAAATCCTTTTTCAAGAGGCAAGGTAATGGATGTGCCCCGTTTCCCACTGGCCTCTGTTTCAATCCGGGTGGTGCCAACGTTCGCCATGAACGCAGATCTTAAGACCCCTCAGGTCCTCGTTACTGGTCCTCGCTACACACCCCTCGTTACATACCTTCGTTGCACACCTCACATCAACAAAGCCGCCTGTCTGGTTGCTTGCCTCTCATTGCATACCTCGATGCGTACACAGACTCTTAGTGATCTCCTATGGGTGCCTGCAGACTTTTGCAGAGCATGCATTTCGCTGGGGCACAAGTGTGAAGAGCCAAGTTAAGTTGGAACAAGTAGCACTGCCGGAAGGAAGAATCCTCAAATCCGTGCTATACCTCGTTACATACCTCGTTGCGTGGCCGTTACGTACCTGATTACAGACCCAACGTGACCCAACCCCGCGACCCACCTGTTGCCGTCGTTTCGCTTGCGTTGACTAGCTGCCAATTTCAAGCTGGAGCTGCGGCGGTGTGCTTCACATACTGCATGTGCTTTGCATAGTTGGACATGTGAGCTGGAGCTGCGGCGCTTTGTTGTTCTGCGCTACATTGTGCTACTAAAGCTTATCAAGCACTGTTTTCTCGGCAGACACCCACGTCACAAGAGCTCACCTCCGTGACAAGATTCCTGCCGCGCCGCGCGTACATGCCAACCCTTTGGCGAAAGGAGCGCAGGGTAGTTGGTCCAAAAGCGTAGAAGACCGCAGTTCCCGCCAACGCTTGCTTGTGGCCCACCCTCGTAGGCCGCGCACCGCTGGGAACCCGCGTGTTCAGCGGCTCGCCCACGGTTCTCCCCTTGCCTGATTTTGCCTGGTACAGCAACGGGAGGAGACATACAGCATATTCCTGTTTCCCAAAATGGGGGGGCCCGCGCGGGGGTACGCAGGACTGGCGGCAGTCCTTGCAGACGTTTTCTCGTATTTCGGCGCTGTTTGCTAGGCTTCTGCTAGGCAATGTATTCTTCCTCATGTATGTGACATGTTACCTTTGAAGCTGCCAACGTTTTGGTGACATGCAAGGGCGCAAACATAGGATTGTCTCCTACTGGGGAACACACACGGACACATGTGCATGCTCAGTTTCTTAAGATTTGAAAGTAACCCCAAAGCGGAAACTCGACAACAACAGCAACACGCCCTTGTGCACAAACTGACGCCGCAATTCCATTATTTTTGTTGCATTTGCCCCGTTCTTCTTTTGCACTTTGCCCCACGGGTTCCTTAGACTCGCTGGGATTCATCGATTGGCTCTCCATAAGGTTGTTCGTCCAGAGCTGATTGAGTTATCGTTTGATGCGGTAACCTCAGGAAACATATCTTTTGGTTCCAAATTGGTCCTCTTTTCTTCCCTTCTTCAGGGGAAGGCTTTCTAGTGGCAACCCTGCATTTTTTTTTCCACCTGGTTGGCTGGAGACGGTGTTATTTGCGGGGTCAAAGTTTTCCGTGTTCCGAAGGGAGCAACCCCGCTGAACCCAAACTTTTGGGAGCCGCGACAAGACGACGTTGCAGAGGCGACCTCGTGATGACGCGCCCTGGTCAAGTTGGTTAGCCCACGTCCGGACCCACTGGAACCGAACACCTCAGGCTTGGCAAGAAGCGGATGCATATGTTGGCCATGAAAGCCACATGTACCAGCCTTGGACAAATCGGGAAGCTCAATGAATGCGAGAGCTTTCCGTGGGAGGTTGAGAGCTGGTACGGACGTTCCCAATTTGAGAATGGGCAACGTTCGACCGAACTTGCCCATTGCTGCAACTGGGATGTGCCTGGGATGTTGGAGGACTCCCCTACCAACCATCACCGGCTCTTTCTCGCTGGGTGTGTTTCCCCCCCTTGTTTTTTTTTGTAAAGAGAAAGCAACAAGAAGCCGTTTCAGTCTTCAGACTCCCCTTCTGAGACAAATGGCTGTGGGTCAAAACCAATGGGATCCCATTTTGGGGTAGGTGAATTCACCACCCAGTTTAATCTATTCTAGTGGTTGGATTGGGATGTTCACTGGGGGCTAATCGATTTGGGTTTTGGACCCATCGCCAAATCCATTTTTGGTTTAGACAAACCTCGGGATTTGAGACACAACAACTTTGTCCCAGCCAAGGGGCCCCAGTGGTAGGTCCAGCTATGATGTCAACCCCTTCCCAAAAGGTGAATTTACCTTCCAAAACCCCTGGTTTTGGTCGTGTAGAACATAAATATGCTCCAAAAAGAAGGGTTGTTTGGTAACCCTAAACCCTAAACCCTAAATATGCTCCAAAGAAGGGTTGTTTGGTATTTTCACTAGGGGACGGTTCCCAAGCGAAGTAATGAAGGCTGAATGGAAGGGCAGCAACCCAGCGTCTGACAGCTTCACGAGCGATGAAGCTTTCAATGAATCTGCCTGCAGACAGAGTCTGCTTGTTGGCTGGAGTGAAGGAAAAGGGAGAGCTCAGCGAGTCGTTTTCTGGTGGATTCCCACTTGAGAAAATTAACCGTTTTTGGGTTTGCGTCGATCTTGTTAGTTTCAACAAACGGAGCCCTGGCTCCTCATATCTCAGTTGGTGAGCAAGGGTGCTGTCATGACAAAAAGAAAACAAACGGCTTTGGAAGGCGTAGTTTTAAGGGCCTAGACCTCCCAGCTAAATGTTTGCTTTTGTCCAGACTCTTCCTCAGTCACAGCTAGCCGTGTTGCCAGTCCGCGATTTAGCAGGAAGCGGTACAGCGCGGTAATTGCGTGTCTCCCCACCTCTAAACTCAGTTGCTGGGATCAACCCACCCTTAAATCCTTTGGCTTCCTTGGTTTGTTCCGTTTGTAATCACCCCAAACGACGGACTTGAAACAAATACCGTAGTTTTCCTGATTCCATGTTTGTCACGCCCCCAAAGGTGATCACATTGTATCAAACCAGGTCCTTTAATGACAGATAGCAAGACTCGTATGCGAAAGAACGTGTGAGATTTGGGTTTGTCCTTTTTGGTGGTACCCCCTTTTGGGTGTGTTTTAGAAGGAAGCGAACGAGAACACACACACACACACACTCCTTTTTTCTGGGGGGGGTCCCCTAAAAAGGGCAGACCCATTCTGGTGAGTCTCAACCATTGTGGTTGAAATTTAGACCCCTCCCCAAATGGACCATGGACAATTCAGAGATTCGACCGAACCTGACCGAAACCTGAGCATCCCTCAGGCGCATATCCCCCCATTCGAGCATCGGCTAAGGGGGGGGATAGCATTGAACCATTGGCTGAATTTCAGCACTGGGCTTCCTTTCCATATTCGACACACCCCCTGCTTGAGACATTGCGACTTTGGCTCATTTGGCGTGCGGCCAGGCCTGACTCTGCCAGGTGCATGTCTCCTTTGACCCAACCGAAACAGGAGTCCAATGAGAAATTTGGTATCTTGGAAGGTCGACATTCGGAGCCAAACCCTCAGACCCGTGCCGGCCTTCTGAGACGTCTCCGACCCTGGTTCCAATCATTCCCCCGTGTGTGCGGCGGCCACGTGCGGGTGCATCTGCCCAGGTGCAAAGTGCTGCTTTGGGACACCAAAGATTATCTATGCAACAGCCAGCTCCGATCCTAGCGCGCTCAACACCAACACCGTACCCCTCTAAACGTAGATATACAAATTGTGCTTGTACAGATGTTTCCTTTAAGAGCGCCCCCCAAAGAAAAGCACGATGCACCCAGGAGCTGGTTGGCCCATGCGATCGCACCGCTGGTTTTGGCTCAGAATCTCGGCTGAGCTGGCCAGCGGGAGGCGCGGAGCTTGGCGACGCAAAAGTTCGAGGCGTCCGAAGCCGAAGCCCAGGTGGTTGTCTCGAAATGGAACTTTCGGCCAGTGAAAGAATCAGCTGAGCTGAATAAATGAGATCCGGTTCCTTGCAATTAATTGAACTAGGTCCCCCAACAGTGCCCTTTTACTACTTTTTTGGGGGAGGGTTCCCCTACGAAAATAGACTGCAGAAAAAAGGGTGGAGGACCTAGTTAAATCAGGTGGTAATTGGCATGTAGCTTTAACAGAATCCTGCTTGTTGGTGAGGCTTCCTTCATTCGTAGATCCTTTTGTTTTTGGGTGAGATATTGTGAAACATGCCGGGGATCCCAGCCTCATCCTTCCTGGTTCGGTGGGTTCAGGACCCACCAAGAAATGGTGTCCAACCCTAAAAACCGATCAAGTTCTCATGTTGTTTCAACTGGTTGCTGGGCAACTGGGTAGGAGCTGATCATATTGCCAGGGTATCAGCTTTGTCGTAGGTTGGGCATCGTGGGCATTCAAAAGATCGCTGGTTTCGAGTGACTAGGGGCTTGCCATAGATCCTCAAGCAAGGGCATAGATGGCCATTCCAATTGTTTGCTTACCAGATTGGTTGGATTTCCATGTTTTCGGGTGGTTGCTCTTTGTTGATGCTGTTTATGTGCTGTGCCTGCAAACAACGATCCTTTTTGCTTACATGCAGTACAAGGTTGGTACTGGAAAGAAGTGTTTATCCTGAGCAATGGATTTTTTCACTTCAGCTATCACCTCCAGTGGAAAGTTTTGGACCTCAACGGCTAGCTGCGGTACATGACCTGCGGGACGGAGCGCATGCGAGCCCCAAGTCTGAGGTTCATGCGTCATGCCCTAGGGCGCCTACACCGCGCGGCGCCTCGCCTAACAGCCCAAAATGTGCAATCAGCAGGGATGAAGGCTGGAAAACCAGCACTTATCAGCAGGGCTGCAGGATTTTGTCCATCCACAGTAGTGCCCCTTTTTGCCCCTTGGGGCCGCTGGAAGTTTTGGAAGGGGCTGGTGCCGGAGAGAATGTCCTCTGAACATCATCTAAATTGCTGACGTTATCTTTTCTAGGTCCCCCAGTAGTGCCCTTCTCTCCCCTTTTTTTGGGGAGGGTTCCCCTACTAAAAGAGACTACAGAAAAAAAAGTTGGTACCCTTATTCCAAGCTCTCTACTGGCGGACCTTATCTTTTAGGGCCCCTTTCAGGGGAGGAGTTCTTCAGCTCCGTGTTTTGTCCGCTGGGTTTTTTTCGGCCCATGGGATGTTTTGGTCGGCCGGAAGTCGGAGCGGTTCCGCAGCGCGAGGCTTTTACCCTGAGATCCTCAAGAAACCCCATCCTGACCTTTGCGGCCTGTGCCACTGCAGAATTACTGGACGCCCTGGCGCACTTGTTTGTGGCGCTACGAGTTGGACGGTCCCTCCATTTCCGAGTTTGGACTTCCCAAAGTGGGAAATTGTGGGAACCTCCCGCAGCACTTTGCAACTGTGAAAGCGGAAATCCGGTGACCCCTGCTGGATTCGAAATTCTTGGGACCCACCAAAAAGTGGTAGGCCAAAGCAGACTCGCTGCTTTTTGCCAATGCACTTTGGGAGTGAGTTTCTGGAGCCGCCTGCATACAAACTGGTAGGAGGAAGCCAGGATGAGTTACGGGGTGGGAATCCTGCACTTTTCGGGGGGCTTTCCAGTACCCGTCTTTGATCCAGCAGCTGGGTGAGTCCGTCGCCAGAATCTTCAACTCTGCCACCGGCAGACAGTACCTGTTATACATGGGCCACTAGGTCCCCCAGTGCCCTTTTACCCCCTTCTGGGCGAGGGTTCCCCACTAAATAGACCCTTATTCTAACCTCTCTACTGGAGGACCTAGGCCAGGTCTTCAAATGAAGCTCGATTTGGAGAAGTGGCAGGGGTAATTAGTTCCCCCTCAAACTGGAACCTCCCGTGCCGAGCATCGTGCCTGGTTTGGGCAGTTGGGAGGAAATGGACCTAAGGGCCCAGGTGGGAGGAAAAAAAGAAGACACCTTGCCACCAATAGACGTGCCCTAGTAATATAGGTGGGGTCTTTTGGACCAAAGGACCCCACCTTTCCCGAGTGATCAGAATGAGAGGGCGTCGGAAGTTTCCCCTGATGCCCAATTTGAAGTGAGTGTCCCGTGAGTGGGGTGGGGTGGGGTGTTTAGGTTGGAAATCATGGGAGCCCAAAAGGGCTCTCTGCGAAAGGCCGAACGGCCCTGTGCCGAGGGTCAACCCCTGCAAAAGCTTCGATCCTTTTTTTGAGATATACTCTAAACACACAGCAGGCGATATGGTGAGGCAGGAGAGGGGGATATATTCTCCCTTGGTTAGAAAGATTAGTTGCTTCATGGGCAAGGAGAGGGGGGTATATTATCCTTTTGCTTGGACAGATTAGTTGCTTCATGTTTTTTTTTTGGGTGGACCCCAACAGGGTCGCAACGTTTTTTTTCCTTTTGGTTTCCCTTTGCAAAGCCGCGAAACAGGCTTCCTTCAAGCCGCTATTTGCACATCGGCTGCATGCTGGATGCTTTTTGTGAGGACCTTCTCTGCGTCCCCGTTTGTTTTTTTTTTCAACTGAGACTTCATTGGCCGAAGGCTTGTCAGCTCCTTGCAACCTCCAAAACCTGACACGTTCGGTTGGTCGCATTGATGTTGAGACCTCCAAAACCTCGCACGTTCCTTCGGTGGGTGCGAGCGCGTTCGGTTGAGCGCCAGCTTGGGCACCGGCGGCTCACCATGCGGGCGGTCTCTGAAAGCGGCGCCCTGCCGCGGCCCCGATGCGACTTCCCAAAGGTGGTCGGGGCAGTGGATGGCTAGGGTCCCCCAAGAAGCCAACCTTCTCCGTTTCTTTTTTGTTGTTGCGTTGGTGAAAAGAAGCACAGCTAGGTCTCCCAGTAGAGCCCTTTTACCCATTTTGGGGGGAGGGTTTTCCCCTACTAAGATAGACTACAGAAAAAAGTCGGCACCCATATTCCCAAACCTCTCGACTGGAGGACCTAGCAAACCCGGTCGGCAGTGGATGGGCTCCTCGAAATCCAGATTTCTTTGTTTTTTTCGGCAGATTGAAGATGGTCCGCATCGGTCAGCCAAACAAAAACGGCCAGTTTTCCCTATGTTATCAGCTTGGCCGGTTTCTTATGGGCAGGACCCGGATCAGGGTTTCAGAAATAGGCTCAGTGGGTGGTTTGCCTTTGGACCTCGTTTTTGTAGAGTGGCTAGAAACCTCTTTAGCTAGCTTCTGTCAGCATGTGCTCAATCTGGCGAATGTGACGGGCACAGGACACATTCATTTTCCCATGCGCATGGGGGTAACATGTTCCGACAGCTCACCAACCCCCAAAACAGGTTGGACAAAAATCACCTTTTGGACAGCTCGCTCTTCTTTTTGTGGGCAATTCTGAGAAAGAAGAAAAGGGAATCCTCTGGCGCTTGGGCAGGGCTTTTGACATTGACATGATTGGGGCGCAACAAGCACAGACCCGAGGATGCAGCCCCAAGGAGTGTTTGTCCCTATACATGGCATGAAAGCCTGCTACTGGCAAAACAAACACATGGTGTTTGAAAAGAAGTCTTCCTGCTTTGGGCGCCGTTAGCCCATGATTTTTAATTCTCCCGCAAAGGAGACCAAGGGGATCCTTAAACGTCGTACCCCCATGATAAATATGTGCCACAGAAAATAAGCCCCTACTTGGGGTTAGTTCACTAAATTCCCTCACGACGTGCTTTTCAAGATATAAGAGCAGCATACGCTCGCGATGCCTCCAAGCCCCCTTTTGACCCTGAAATGAAGATCCAGCCCTTGAAAACGGGTGTCTTTTTGAGGGCTAAAAACTGAAAGGGAGCCGCGTTTTGGGTCCTTCCGACCTCGCGGATCCGCTTTGCGCGTTGTTCTCAGCCCTCTTGGAGGACAAAAGGAGGTTGGGGACGAGCAGCATCTTCAACGGGTGTGAACAAGGGCCGCACCAACTCGAGTTGGCTTGGCAGTTCTCACCCCTCGTGAAGAATTTGTTGTCGGGAAACTAGTTTGTTTTTTTCGTATGTTTCTTTTAGCCTACAATCGTCCAATGTTCATTTTGCAGGGAGCGCAAAGCTTTTTCATCTTTGGAAATGCAGTGTCTTCCCTGTTTGGTTGTGTTGAGCGGCACCTCTTGTGGCATATTTTAATGAGATTCCTTACGATAGCATAATATTCAAAGAAAAAACAGAAAACCCTCCGGGCGGGCAGGGAGACGAATCAAAGAGCTAGTCGGATGACGGTGTCCACTGTGCGCCTTTCGCACCCAGCGGTGGCCTTTTTCGAAGGGAATGATCTCCAGCCCTGATTTGAGAAGGAGGTATTGACCATAAGAGCCCAGGGTTCCAAAGCATACCCCAAGACCAAGAATCGGGTATGTGGGCGTGTTCTTTTTTAGGGGACCCCCAAAATGGCTCCGGTTTTCCTTTTGGTTTCCCTTCCTCCCAGCGTTCTCCTGAGTCGGTGCCCACCCCGAGGCCACGCTTGTACCACGACGTGAATGCCATGGCCCCAACCGGTGGAACGCACGTCTCACCGTTACCGTTGGTCAACGTATTGGCATCTGTCCGACGAAAAAGCGGGGCCTGCGAACGCGCAGGTTTTCCGGAAACGGATCCATGTCCAATTTTCAGGAGAGGTTGCCACTTTGTGTGATACAGTCCAAGCGTTGCATAAGAATCCGGGCCCGCCAAACCCAGGGACCCTCAAATTCTTAACTTCAAGTTCAACATGCAGAAGGGTATTTTTGCTCCAGGGTCCCTCAATTTCTTAGCAGTTTCTTAACTTGCTTGAGCGGTTCATTGGTAATTGTTTGTTCCATCGCAGTTTGAAGGCTCGGGATGGCTCGCGCACACATACAAAGCACAGAAGCAACTTTAGAGCCTCCGGCTCAGTCCGCTGACATTGTCCTCTCCCTTTTCTCCTTCTTCCTCTCTCCCTTGTCTCCCTGGTGTGTTCTGTCGTCCTCTCTCCCTCCCTCCGCTCCCCATCCTCCCCATCCCCCCAAGCCACTCTCTCCCCAATCTCCCTCTCTCGTATGTATGTATGTATGCATGCATGTATATATGTATGTATGTAATGTATGTATGTATGTAAGTATGTATGTAGTATGTATGCATGTATGTATGTATGTATGTATATGTATGTATGTAAGGTAGGTAGGTATGTATGCATGTATGTATGTATGTATGTATGTATGTATATGTAATGTATGTATGTATGTATGTATGTATGTATGTATGTAATGTAATGTATGTATGTAATGTATGTAATGTATGTAATGTAATGTAATGTATGTATGTATGTATGTATGTATGTATGTATGTATGTATGTATGTATGTATGTATGTATGTATGTATGTATGTATGTATGTATGTATGTATGTATGTATGTATGTATGTATGTATGTATGTATGTATGTATGTATGTATGTATGTATGTATGTATGTATGTATGTATGTATGTATGTATGTATGTATGTATGTATGTATGTATGTATGTATGTATGTATGTATGTATGTATGTATGTATGTATGTATGTATGTATGTATGTATGTATGTATGTATGTATGTATGTATGTATGTATGTATGTATGTATGTATGTATGTATGTATGTATGTATGTATGTATGTATGTATGTATGTATGTATGTATGTATGTATGTGTATGTATGTATGTATGTGTATGTATGTATGTATGTATGTATGTATGTATGTATGTATGTATGTATGTATGTATGTATGTATGTATGTATGTATGTATGTATGTATGTATGTATGTATGTATGTATGTATGTATGTATGTATGTATGTATGTATGTATGTAATGTATGTATGTAATGTATGTATGTATGTATGTATGTATGTATGTATGTATGTATGTATGTATGTATGTATGTATGTATGTATGTATGTATGTATGTATGTATGTATGTATGTATGTATGTATGTATGTATGTATGTATGTATGTATGTATGTAATGTATGTATGTATGTATGTATGTATGTATGTATGTATGTATGTATGTATGTATGTATGTATGTAATGTAATGTATGTATGTATGTATGTATGTATGTATGTATGTATGTATGTATGTATGTATGTATGTATGTATGTATGTATGTATGTATGTATGTATGTATGTATGTATGTATGTATGTATGTATGTATGTATGTATGTATGTATGTATGTATGTATGTATGTATGTATGTATGTATGTATGTATGTAATGTATGTATGTATGTATGTATGTATGTATGTATGTATGTATGTATGTATGTATGTATGTATGTATGTATGTATGTATGTATGTATGTATGTATGTATGTATGTATGTATGTATGTATGTATGTATGTATGTATGTATGTATGTATGTATGTATGTATGTATGTATGTATGTATGTATGTATGTATGTATGTATGTATGTATGTATGTATGTATGTATGTATGTATGTATGTATGTATGTATGTATGTATGTATGTATGTATGTATGTATGTATGTATGTATGTATGTATGTATGTATGTAATGTATATGTATGTATGTATGTATGTATGTATGTATGTATGTATGTATGTATGTATGTATGTATGTATGTATGTATGTATGTATGTATGTATGTATGTATGTATGTATGTATGTATGTATGTATGTATGTATGTATGTATGTATGTATGTATGTATGTATGTATGTATGTATGTATGTATGTATGTATGTATGTATGTATGTATGTATGTATGTATGTATGTATGTATGTATGTATGTATGTATGTATGTATGTATGTATGTATGTATGTATGTATGTATGTATGTATGTATGTATGTATGTATGTATGTATGTATGTATGTATGTATGTATGTATGTATGTATGTATGTATGTATGTATATGTATGTATGTATGTATGTATGTATGTATGTATGTATGTATGTATGTATGTATGTATGTATGTATGTATGTATGTATGTATGTATGTAATGTATGTATGTATGTATGTATGTATGTATGTATGTATGTATGTATGTATGTATGTATGTATGTATGTATGTATGTATGTATGTATGTATGTAATGTAATGTATGTATGTATGTATGTATGTATGTATGTATGTATGTATGTATGTATGTATGTATGTATGTATGTATGTATGTATGTATGTATGTATGTATGTATGTATGTATGTATGTATGTATGTATGTATGTATGTATGTAATGTATGTATGTATGTATGTATGTATGTATGTATGTATGTATGTATGTATAATGTATGTATGTATGTATGTATGTATGTATGTATGTATGTATGTATGTATGTATGTATGTATGTATGTATGTATGTATGTATGTATGTAATGTAATGTATGTATGTAATGTAATGTAATGTAATGTAATGTAATGTAATGTAATGTAATGTATGTAATGTAATGTGTAATGTAATGTATGTAATGTAATGTAAGGTATGTATGTGTATGTAATGTATGTATGTAGGTCTGTCTGTCTGTATGTATGTATGTCTGTATGTATGTATGTATGTATCCTTGCACTTCCCCTTTGCTCCCCAGTATTTCCCGCACAATACACGGTTTTCCCGCGTTTTCGCAAAGAGGATGTCCAAAAACACAGAGTTTTGCCAGATTTTCGGCAAAAGGATGCAGGAAGCCCAAGCCAGCAAAAAAGCCGGCAGGGGGAATCGAGCCTGGGACCCCTGTTTTGCAACACCGGTGCCGGCCGTCAGCCCGCAGCCGCACAGGGCGCACTTGCCGCCCTGCCCGGCCAGGGTCTTCTGCCTCTCCGCCGCGCCGGGCACGTCTCGTTTCGCTTTGAGCAGCTTCAAGAAGATCTCGTGCGCCAACCCGGCCAGGCGCTGGCCTCGGTACTCCTGCCCCAGCGCCTCGCACCAGCGGTGCAGCACCTCGTGCTCCTCCGGCAGCTCTCGGATCCTCGTGCCCCGCCGCAGCCTGAGGCCGCAGTACTGCGCCGGGCTGCTGATGGCCACCTTGGGGCTCTCGCCGACGGCCATGAGCTGGCGCCTCGCCTCGCGCAGGTCCTCGCACCAGAACAGCCCCGGCTGCACGTCCGCGGCGTCGAAGCGCCTCCACTCTCCGATGGGCGGAAGGGTCTGCCTCGCCTCGCCTCTGTGCAGCACGCGCGCCGCCTGCCGCTCCAGCACCCGCTTCGGCTCCCCGAAGACTTCGTTTAGTGGAACGTCATCAAATTGCCGCGCGATACGTGGGGGGACCCCCCCCCAAAAAAAAACAAAAACCTAGGTTAGGGGGGGGGGTTATCCTCTATCCTCTCTTAGGTGTCCAACACGCCGAGCAATGTCGGCGGACATCACGCTAGAGAGATAGAGAGAGAGAGAGATTGCAAAATCACATATGCTTGGCACTGAACAATGCCGCCTGACATGGAGATCATTAGTGATGCTTCGGATGCAGATACCCCGACCCCGGTGGCATTGCTAGCCACGCCCTCGAAGGATTCAAATGCTGGATGATCAGAAGCAGCTGCCTCTGCAGCTTCTCCGGGGCAGCAAGTGTCTTTGCACCGATCTGCCAGCCTTTCCCGGCTGGGCAAAAGCTTGGCCCACTGTGGAAGAGCACGGCAAGAACAATCTACACTGGATGGAGTGGAGTCAGTGGCACAGCATGGAGAAGCTGCTGGAACTGGCAGCTCATCTTCCAGCAACAGCACGTCTCAGCAGCTCGTCTTCTGCTAAGCTAAAGGCAAAAGCGCTGCCCAAGCAAGCGTCCAAAGCAAAGCCCAAGAAGAAGCCCAGAAAGAAACGGCCGGCCAAGCCTCTGTTTCCTCCTGGGATGGATCCGCCTCATCCACTGGTTGGCAAACGTGTCAAGACAAATTTGGAGGTAACGCTGGCTCACCTCGCCAAGGGCGAGCCGGAGTCCGGCATTGTAGAGTCGGTTCACGACGGCAAAGCTGTTGTGGTGACAAGCAAAGGCAAGATGACTTTGAGCCTGGAGTGCTTGAATCTTGATGCCTGACAAAGACAATGCTGCTTGCTCCTGAGAAAATGAGGATGCGTTTGTTTGCAGCTACATCAAGAATGGATGGAATTAAGGATTTGGGGCCTGGAGACGAGGGACCCTCAAATTCTTAAGGTAGTTACGACTCGGGTAATACAACATAATGGCTGAAACTCTGGCTCCAGCCCCTCAAATTCTTATCCAGTGTTTTCTTAAACAGTGCTTGCGCTGTACTGGGAGTCAGCCAAACGGCGTCACGCAGACAGGGGCCTTTCCATTTGCCACAGCCTGTCCGTCGTCCCTAAAAAAACACAGCCGAAAGGGGGTCACAATTGAAGAACATCCTCGTGCCCTTAAAGCGGAGATATTGAGCTATGCTGCGGTGTTGGGGCAAGGGTCCGGCTGAAGCTTTCTTTGTTTTGTGGTTTTTTGCAACATCACCAAAGCCTTTTGGTTGGCAATTCTAAGTGCGCGTTCTTCGGCGTGCTGATTTTAGAAGAAGGGAACTCTGGTTGGAGGGGGCGGCTGCAAAACACGGACATGTGGATGTTACACGAAGGGGGGTTGATCTGTAGCAGGATATGGTTGGATCGAGATTCCGGAGTCTGATTGACCGTTTGCTAAGCAACCGCGGGGAATAGACTTGACCCATGAACCAACTTGATGTGCTTTTAGGGAACACTCTGTCAATACCACGTTGTTCTGCGGTGCTCAGGTGCACCGTCCACGGGAGTATTGGGACTACGAGAACCTCTCAGTGAACTGGGGGTCGGCACCCCGGAGATGTCGAACACGAGCTGGAACCTCACCGCCTGGAGGCATGCGCCCCCCAAGCTGCTTTTCAATCGAAGATACTTACCACAGCATACCAAAGCTTGACGACCATACCTCTAGAAATCAGTAGTTGGGTGTTTCAAGCAAGAGGATTTCAATCTGTGTTCTGTGCTCAACGCCACAAGGCCCAGAGAGTGACAAGGCAAGCAACTGAGCCATCGACCGTTCCCGAGCTGAAAGTTGACCAAAGGCGTTCGTCGGTTTTCCTTCTCCGAAACCATGCTTACCGAAAAGTGTATTTCGGAACGCGCAGCAAGCTCAAGGAGACTGAAGTGAAATATGTCAGGCGAGTTGCCCTTTTCAACTTGGTTTAAAGGAGAACCAAAAAGAACCCGAAGCCATTCGGGGTCCCCCTATTTTGGCACACTCACATTCACCACATTCAAGCTTGCGGGTTGCAACCCTTAGCTTTGTATTGCTGAAGAAACTGAGGGCCCAACGAGCTACATAACAACCGTTTGTTCTAGATTCTCAAATGGAAGCCAACAGGCGATGGATCATTTTCCCTTTTCCAGACCGTTTAACACCCAGTTTCCTGTCGGTTTTCTTTTGGCCTCAATCCAAAGAGAGCGGTTCTGAAGCATTGGGGGGGTGAACCAGTTCAAACTTTTGCGGGTCCAGGGTTGTCCCTTTAAGACTGCCGTATTGGAAACAACAGGCATGAACCGCTGAAGGCCTGGTTGCTGCTGGGGTATGCCAACATGTTCCAAGAAACGGTGGCAACACGACCATCCTGTTTCACTGCGAATATATCGTGAGATCGTCCACCGTGCCAAGGGCCTAGAGATGAAACAATGTGCCATCACCGTGGCCTCCGGAACGGCTCTTGTGGACACAAGTATTCGAGGGACGCCCATACCGGCCACTACTTTGTATGTCAGGCAAGGTTCGTGCCAGCCTTATGGATCAAAAGCTCTCCGTGCAATCGTTTTTGGAACCGGTGGGAATGTCTCTCCCCCGACAAGGATGGGAACGTGAGAAGCCACCAACCCCGTTAACACGAGTTTAGTATTTAAGACAACCCAAAGGACACCTACCATGTGGAGGGTTCCCTGACTGTTCACGTGCTCAAATGACGGGTGTTGATTTCGGGAATCCCCTGAAGACAGCCGCCAGGGAATGTGCAATGCACAATCATTTTTGCCTTCTCCTTAGGGGTCGTCATTATGTTGGGGCCTCTGGAAAAAGCAACTGGGTCCCCAGTAGTGCCCTTTCTCACCCTGTTTTGGAGGGCTCCCCTACTAAAATAGACTACCCAAAAAAGTTGATACCCACTTCGTCTAGCCGCTCTGGAGGACCTGGATGATGTGGGCCCTGAGGGTCCGGGCTCTGTCCAGACCCCATAGCTGTTGAACCCAGTGTAGAGCTGATGGTCCGATCCCGCTTTTCAGGCCACCGCCGGCTTTGTAGGGTAAAGCCTTTTTTAGTTTTTTTTTTTGGGGGGGGCCTTGGGCCGCATCCAACTCACGTGTCCCAAAATGTGGGGACATGGCTCATTTTGGGTTCCCTTCATAAAAGGTGAGCAGGATTTCCCTTTGGTTTCAACCAGTGGTTCTCCAGGTGACCTGCTTTTGATTCTGCACAATGGTTGGCACCTGACTCCAACTCAACCCCTCCGGCAAGGCTTTCCGGGGACCTGTCCGGCCAACGGCCCGCTCGCGCCTAGGTGCCAAGATGATTACGAGGTGCTGCGCAAGGTGGGCAGAGGCAAGTACAGCGAGGCCGGCTGATGTTGAGCTCAACACGCACACATGTCACACATGGGGGCATTGATGGAAGAATATATATTCATTATGAGGAAAAAGGAAGGTCCTTTGCTGGTCGGTGGGCCCTTGGCTACAAAGCAACTGCCGTACAGTCATGGTTCTTGTTGGGAAACTCTTTTTTTCAACATTTTTGCTCATTGTGGTTTAGTGGTTGGAATCTATCCCCACTCAACCGCTAAAAAAAAACAATGTTTGTTCCCCTAACCCAACATCAACCAAGCAGTGTGTGGCTTTTGTCTGGGGTCCACGGATCTGAGCACCTGGACGATCACAGCTTTCGAGAGGGCATGAGTTATGAGTTTTGATCCTCTTCAGAAAACCTCCCCAGGGAGAATCGCAGATCCTCTCTTAGGCCCTGTGTGGGTACCGTATCCCTGAAGGCTCAGCCCCAGGGACGAAACCAAGGGTACACGAAGGTCATATCCTGAGATCACTGGCATTGGTGTTTTTTGTTTCTCCTGAAGAGCCTGGGAAAACTCAATTGTTCAATGTCCTCTTGGGGAAACAAGTAATTTTGTCCAGGGCTCATATTTCTGCTCTAGTTCTTCTTGTTTGGGGGCCTGGGAAATTCTTGGACTACAGGGACTGGGCAAAGAGGCTCGAAGCGCACATGCAAGAATTGCAAGACCAAGGGAAATGCAGGGCTTGCTTGAATCCAGGATCGACAAGGGTCTCCTTCACCTTTTGCGTCGTGGCATACAGTCATATGTCATATGTCTTGTTTTAAGGGAAAGCAACCAGTTTTGGGAAGTTACAACCTGGATGAATTCATCCGGGCTTGACATTGCCGGCAAGGAAGAATGGCTGGGAAGTCCAGGTTGTTTCAACCAGAAACTCAAGTCAAGCAAGGCCCTTTTTAGGAACAACCCCGTTTGGAGAAGAACCCTTTCCCCCTTAAACACCTGTTTTGCTAGAACCGTGTAGTGGCAAAAAGTAGAGGTACAACACTAGAATGGGCTTTTGCCGTGGCCACTCACGGCAAACGGTTGATTCCCGAACCAACTTATTTCTCCCCGCCGAGCTGCCCGCTGGCTTGAGCACAGCGGAAGGTGCAACCCCTCAAGTTCAAAAGGGGCCTGGAAAGGGGTTGGCTGCCTTTGTTTTTTTTGACCAGTTGGGCTACACCTTTGGTTTTGCAAGACACGCCCAACCTGCACAGCCGCAAAGGTCTTTCTTTTCTCCGCGTCAGGTCTTTGAGGGCATCCACATGGCCTCCCAAGAGAAGTGCGTCATCAAGCCGTGGCCCCGAATGACCGAAGGGATGGTGATAGTTTGATCATTCCACTGGGCGTTTCCAGCCCTCCAGTGTCATGCCCCTTTTCCTTTTTGCAGCCAACGAGGCACGAGGTTCCCTATCCCGGCCAGGCGGGGGACAAGTAAGTCTTAAGTGACTAGAGAAAAACGTTTTCGCTCGGTTTTTCCGACATGGACCTTTCAGGTGGGTGGCGTCAGGTGGGTGCGTCTTGAAGAGCCCCATTCTAACATATGTCTTATGTTTTTGCGATGCCACTTCCTGCTTTTTTTTTGAGGGGCGCAAGCGAACCAGGACCCGCTTTAACGCGCGAGTCTTGCATCGGCATGTTGGAAGATTCGAATTGCACATGTTTTGTCCAATCATCACCCCCAAAATACCAAGCCCAGGGCTGTTTGAATAGCATGTTGACTTCCCAAGGGTGTGAGGCAGAATGCGGTCCCTCGTCATTGACCCAGAGTCATGACATCGCTCTGGGCTTGCCGCATTTGTTTGGTCTGGTTTATGCCAAAGCCGTGTACAGTAAGTGTTGCGGTCTGAAGCGATTTGTTTGTCACGATTCAGAACAAGCTTTATGGCTGTTTTGGCGTGAAGCAACGTTGACTACCGCTCAAATCCCAGTGCAAGTGTTGTTTTTTGAGGCTATCCTTCTTGGGGTTTGATTCCCAATTGTTGCAAAAGCCATCATTTTCTTCGGTGATTGTGGCGCTTTGGAAATAATCCCTGAAAAGAACGGAGAACTTCCTGGACTTTGGCTGCTCCCGAGCCCGTGCTCGATCATTGGCGCCCCAAAGGGGCTGGTTCAAGGGTTTTTCAAGGCGCAATTCTCGATTGGGGGTCTGCCTTCGAGGTGTCATGACGTTTCGAATGTTTTAATGCGAAGAACAATGCCGGATTTTTTCGGGTGTCTTTTGTTGACCTTATTTCGATTGGGACTCGAAGCTCGAAGTGACTTTGTGGGGTGCCCCATAGACCTTTTTCCCCGGCCGAGGATTCTGAAGCCCGTCATGAAAAAGAAGATCAAGCGAGAGATCAGGCGCGAAGCGAAGCATTTGGCCCTAGAGTTATGTTGATCTCAGTCTGACCAGGTTAAGACTTGCGGCGACGTGAGCCTTCTGAAACCTCATTTCCAGTTGCGTGCTTCAATGCAAAACAGTTTACAGTAGCTTTTCTTTTGCAAACATCGGCCCCACGCATACTTGTTTGGCTGTAAGTTAGTAAATAAACCATTGCGCAGTGCCTCCCACGAATGGCACCCCTCCCCCACGTTCAGACTACCGGCTGGTGGGTTGTTGCTTGGTTCATTTCTGCAGAGTCGCGTGCTTGGTGTTCCCTTTTTTAGCCGGGTGGATGGTTTTTATTCGTGGTTTGGTCAGTCACATTTCTTCACGGTTGCCATAGAAGTGGTAAGTGGAGCGCCAGTGGGTCCAAGCCTTTGACTGACTTCGAGCCTTGTTGTGGGACAAACTCCGTCCGTTTCAAATCCATGGGGCTGAACGGCTGAGTTTATTTCTCCGAATCTGAGGACCTGTCCATGGCAGAGAATTGGTAGGGTGGAGCTGCCCTGGTCAGAGTCTTCCATAGCGACACGGTCGCCGTGGAGCTTCCTTTTCACGGAGAAAGGTTAGATGTCCAAAAGGAAACCAAAAGGAGAGGGTCTGTTTGCTTTGCTTTTTTTCCAGGGCCCCAGAGTTGACACCTGGGTTCGAACTGGAAGCAGGGAGCGAGCCCACCCCTTTCCCTGGTTGCCGAAAGTGGTCATGGACCATTTGGGACAACCAGTTTTCAGGATTCCGAATCCTCTTTGGAGACCATGACCATGGCCCCTTTCGGGAGTTTGGACCACGGCGTGTGAAGAGCTTAACATACAATAAGATTGGGGCAGAGGCGGTCCACAGTGGCGTGCCTCCGATTTCGGAAAAATGCAACAAATCAGCCATGTACAAGAGTTGTGGATCCACTTCGGTGATATCTCTCGGGAGCCTTCCCCTGTGGAATGCTTTTAACCGCATGGTCGGGTTGTTTCCCGGTCCTCCCCCATGGTTCGTTCTCTCCCCGCTGTCCTCGGGATTTCGCACATGCTCGGTGAGGGAGCCATGGCGATAGGCTTCGAACGGGGGGGGTGCCCTCCCGCAGGTGCCTTGCTCGGTAGGGGATGAGGGAATGAACTAAGCCCATGGGTCGGAATGACCCATGGGTCCCCTTCAGGGAAATCGCCAGTTGGATGGTTTATAGAGTCATCCCATTTCTCATTCCCTGCATCTCTCGCGCCAAGGTGTGTGGAAGGAAGGACCCGTAAGCCCTCAGCGCCAGGATCCTGCAGAACCTCTACGGCGGGCCCAACATCGTGAAGCTGCTGGACGTGGTAAGGGATCCGCAGTCCAAGACCCCCAGCCTCGCGGGAAGCTTAGAGCGCAAGAGGAATGGAGGCTAGGACTATCCAACCACATTAAGCAAGAAGTGAATGCGTTCATATATAATATACGTGTATACACATGGTACCCGCGCCCCCCCCCCCCCAACAACGGTGAGGCAAGTATACAAGCAACAACTGCAATAGGTAAAGTGCAAAGCTTGACTTAATCATGGCAGCTTTACTTGATCTCCTTTCTGACAATGAAAGAACTAACGAACAAGTGAAAAGTTTGCACCCATGAAAAGCAAAAAGTATAAACACCTGTGTTCTTGTGGCAGTTGCGTGTTTTACCTTCTCCCGGTAAGAATAAAGCAAATAGACAAGCAAAAAGTAGAACGTTGATTTACTTCTGAAAGTGTGTTTGTTGTTCCCTCCGATGGGGTGTTTCCGCGCGCTTTTCGCGTTTCGTTTCCAACTGTAAACAAGGGTTTCAGGGCCATTTTTGACGACCTGCGCGCGGGTTTGGAGCAGTGGGCGTATGTTGCGTTCACGGGCACACTTTCATGACTGAGCGCACGCCTGCCACATGATAAGCACCCACATTGACGCACGCATTATCATCATTGCGTGCATGCACACATTATCATCATTGCACACATTATCATCATTGCGTGCGTGCCTGCCACATGATCAGCATCCACGTTCACGCACACATTATCATCATTGCACACATTATCATCGTTGCGTGCATGCGCGCATTATCATACACATTATCATTGCGTACATGCCTGCCACATGATCAGCATCCACGTTCACGCGCACATTATCATCGTTGCGTGCATGCCTGCCACATGATCAGCATCCACGTTCACGCACACATTATCATCGTTGCGTGCATGCCTGCCACATGCTCAGCATCCGCGTTCACGCACACATTATCATCATTGCGTGCATGCCTGCCACTTGATCAGCATCCACGTTCACGCACACATTATCATCATTGCCCCAAGGGCATATTTGAACATCGATGAAAACAAGCAGCGTCTGTGGGCGTAAAAACCCCAAGACGCATTGAACAGACAGAAAACTCTGGACCGAAAAACCGCGCGGTGAGAGCCCATCGAAGCGTTGTTGTTTGTTACTTTTCCTGGCCCACAATACGTGCTTTTTGATTACATCTGCGTCTTGGCTTTCTACCGTACACAAGTCAAAAGATTAAACTTGTCAAACATAAAGCACGTGTTACTTTTTGGCCGTTATACGAGTTATACGTGTGAACTTTTCGATCCATACTCGTCGCTTTGTCGCTTTATTTTGTTGGGAGAAAGTAAGCAACAAAAACACTGCCACATCATTTTTTCGGCAGTTTCTTTAAATCACCAAACTAATGTGGAAGACATGACGCTATAACTACTGGGTACCCGGCGGATAGAACGCCGTGGGCTTTTTTGCACCGATCCAGATCAGTCTGTGTTTGCATTCGCGCGAATTACAGTGGTTTCTGCAGCGGCGCCTCTTGAAAAAAGACCACAGTACGACAAACTATGGAGGTCAAAACTGCTTTTTCGGGCAACAAACCTATCTTTCACGGCTTAAAGAGAAGCCAATCGAGACAAACAGCCTGCACTTGAGCCGGGGTTCTTGCCATTTGGCTGGCATGGATACAGTGCTGAGCGGGTGCACTTGAGCGGGGGATCTTACCATTTGGCTGGCATACAGTGCTGAGTGGGTGCACTTGAGCAGGGTTCTTGCCATTTGGCTGGCATGGATACAGCGCTGAGCGGGTGCACTTGAGCGTGGGTTCTTACCATTTGGCAGGCATGGATACAGCGCTGAGCGGGTGCACTTGAGCGTGGGTTCTTACCATTTGGCAGGCATGGATACAGTGCTGAGCGGGTGCACTTAAGCGGAGGTTCTACCATTTGGCTGGCATGGGTTCCTACCATTTGGCAGGCATGCATACAGTGCTGACTTGAGCGGGGGTTCTTACCATTTGGCTGGCATGAATACAGTGCTGAGCGGGTGCACTTGAGCGGGGGTTCTTACCATTTGGCAGGCATGGATACAGTGCTGAGCGGGTGCACTTCAGCGGGGTTTTTTACCATTTGGCTGGCATAGATACAGTGCTGAGCGGGTGCACTTGAGCGGGGGTGGCTGGCATGCATAGAGCGCTGAGCGGGTGCACATTTGGCTGGCATGGATACAGTGCTGAGCGGGTGCACCTGAGCGGGGGTGGCTGGCATGCATACAGCGCTGAGCGGCTTGAGCGTGGGTTCACTTGAGCGGGGGTTCTTACCATTTGGCTGGCATGGATACAGTGCTGAGCGGGTGCACTTGAGCGGGGTTCTTACCATTTGGCTGGCATGGATACAGTGCTGAGCAGGTGCACTTGATTCTTACCATTTGGCTGGCATGGATGCAGTGCTGAGCGGGTTGCGCTTGAACGCGGGTTCTTACCATATGGCTGGCATGGATAGCGGGTGCACTTGAGCGGGGTTCTTACCATTTGGCTGGCATGGATAATACAGTACTGATCGGGGCATGGATACAGTGCTGAGCGGATGCGCTTGAGCGGGGTTCTTAGAATTTTGGCTAGCGTGGATACAGTGCTGAGCGGGTGCACTTGAGCGTGGGTTATTACCATTTGGCTGGCATGGATACAGCACTGAGCGAGTGCACATGGTTCTTACCATTTGGCAGGCAGAGCGGGTGCACTTGAGCGGGGGTTCTTACCATTTGGCTGGCATGGATACAGCGCTGAGCGGGTGCACTGTAGCGCCATTTGGCAGCCATGGATACAGTGCTGAGCGGGTGCACTTGGGGTTCTTACCATTTGGCTGGCGTGGATACAGCACTGAGCGGGTGCACTTGCAGCCATGGATACTGTGCTGAGCGGGTGCACTTTAGCGTGGGTTCTTACCATTTGGCAGGCATGGATACAGTGCTGAGCGGGTGCACTTGAGTGGGGGTTCTTACCATTTGGCTGCACATGTGCCAAAAAGCCTAACAAAACCCAAACATGCGCAACATAAATTGCAACCATTCCCAGACATGCGCAAAAAAACCCACGGCGTTCTATCCGCCGGGTTCCAACTACTGACTAGACTGCAGCAAACGTGAGATTAAGACCCGCTGAAGTACTACTCAACTGTTCCTAAACTAGGACCACCTATGGCTGAACCAGAAAACCGAAACCAAGCGGCTTAAACAAGAACGCTGCTAAAGCCAGTAGCTTGTTGACCAATACTAATCCAAGTTGACTATGCTACACATGTAGGATACTGAGTTTATAGACACCCGTATCGGAGTTTTTTGGTTTCGTGGCAAAATGCAAGCAAGAAGGCTTGCACTGTATCTTGTCACTTGCCAGGACTTGACTGACTGGCTGACTGACTGGCTGACTGACTGGCTGACTGACTGGCTGACTGACTGAACGACCGACCGACCGACCCAGCCTCATTTGCAAACCCCCCAAACAAGTTTTCCCGTCTGGAACTCATGAAACTGCAGTCAGTCACCCTTGTTATTTGGAAGCGGGGTTCCCCCAGCGATGTGACTACTGAAGTCGCCTTAAGGGAATTGGCATCACGCGAAGTGGCCGACAAAATGGATATCAAGCATGAAAGGACCTGGTGTACAGAAGAACGGCCAAAATGAGTTATTTCCCTAAGCAAGGGAGCAGCAATGCTTTGTCTTGCTCCGAGATTTTCGAGTACATCAACAACACGGATTTCAAGCAGTTGTATCCCACCCTCACGGACCATGACATCCGGTATTACATTTTCGAGATCCTGCGGGTGCCTGCGGGGGGAGGGTTGGTGGATTCGTGGGTCGGAGGTCAAGGGGGACGGGAGCATAGGACAGGCGGTGAGAGCCAATGATTCGACACACCCTGAAAGCCACGAGGGGATGGTTCTGATTGATTGGTCAGACCGCATTGGGGGCGACTGGGTCAGGCTTGCTGCGAGTTCCTGGAGTTGACCAAACCACAAGAGGAGAGCATCGAACTTAAAATGCATTGGTTTCCCACCCGGGGGGGCGGGGTGGGGGGGATGGGTAGCAAGTGTCTACTCTTGGATCGGATTGGTGTCTTCACTTCAGACAGATCAGCTCTCGCTCACAGCCATGCATCCCAAGGTCGAGTGACCCTGTGCAGGGGGTCAGTTGGATAGGATCCATCCAGATAGATTGAACTCTCTTGGTATGTGTTGATGCTGTTGGTCACATGTTATGCTCGTTGAATTGTTCGAACCTGTTGCAATAAGTGGGAACCAACCTGCACAAGGTGGTGATTTTGTTTTGTTCATCTGCCTTGCGCACGGCCTGGATGTTGCCCGAACTTAGCTTGACTCCGGTCCAGTTTTGTAGCACTGTCTTCCACTTGGCCGCCTAGCTCCAAGAGAATCCAGCCAAAAAGAGTTCTGTTTTCTGGTGTCTACTCTAACTACGCTATGGTCGTGTTTTCCCACTTGGTGACCACGCCAATTCGTCCTGTTTGGCAACTAGGAACATGTAGTCCACCTGGAATCTCCCTGACGAGAAGATGGGGCCGAAGACCTCCTTAGCGGGTCACCAGAGCTTGCACGGTTTCACGGCTGATGGGTAAAATGGCTGTGGAATAAAAAATAGGTACCCAAAAAATCAACCCTGGTAAATGGACATATGAACTAACATCTGCGGCCCCCTTTTGTTTAATGTTGACCCACAGCAAAATGAAGCTTTTCCTTAGAGGTTGGGGTTGAGCGGATTTGAAACTCGCTCGGCTCCGTTCCCAAGTTACCTCGCGAGCTTTGGAAGCCGAATGGTCTCCTGAAAAAGCACGTAAGGTCCTTTTAAAAAAGGGAGGGCACCCTGTTGCCTCCAAGCCATGCCCGAACCAACATGAGGCATGAGTTCCCCTTTCACTTTGAGCCACACTCCCCTTTCAACCCTTTGGCGACATGTCATGACCTGTTCCCTGCCACTGGCGCAAAAGCTTGGCTGGAGGGGATACACATTGCTCATGTACCTGTCAGGCTGACAACGATTGTCTGCCAGTGTCTCAATTGGTGTAAATACGGTTGTCCCCATTGGAACACTAGAGGTTGTCTCCCCCTTCCATGGCAGGCGCTGGACTATTGCCACTCCCAGGGAATCATGCATCGGGATGTGAAGCCGCACAATGCCGGGTGGCCCGGTGAGTTGCGGCTTCGGTTGGTAGGGATGGTCGCCAACCCCCTCAATGAGGGATGTTATAGAAAGGCATACCACGACCCATGGGAGTTTTGACTGAGTAGATCTTCGACAGTTTGTCGGTAGGGAGGATGAGAGAAAATCCCATCAAAATGGGGTGTCTTTGTTTGAGGGTACGCGGGTCCCCCCCAAAAAGACATACCCAAACAGAACTGGGGGAGGGGGATTTTCAATGAGTTCCGTCGTCCCCGGCGCAAGACCACAATGGGCAGACGCTCCACCCCCTTCTTTCGTGGCGGAGGGGGTATGGGGGGTTTCGGGGGAGGGGCTGTGATCTTCGTGCGCTGGACACGTAGGTACCATGGTAAGGATGAGTCCATGCGCACAAGATGAGCTGAAACCAATCGAAACCCAGCAGGGGGTCCCTCAACTGAAACGAGTTGGGTCTTTTGGTTGGTTGATTCTTTGCTTGCTTAGCCCCCACAGAGGCGTCCAAAGGGACTTGGACTTGGGCCCAAGCTTGGCACCTTGAAAATTAAGCCCGTTGAAGGCAGACAATGAGAAAGAACTCAGTTTCTTGCTGCAGCTTCCGAGAAAAATCGTTTGGTGTCCTTTGAATTCCCTTCGCCAGAGACCAGGTTGCAACCGCATGTTCGTACACTCCACATTTTATTTTTATTTTTAAGTGGTGTCCTAACAGCCGGAAGGGTCCTTCCCCCTTTTTAGTTACATTCGCGCGGAGTCGTCAGCCGGGCTCGAGGTCATGATCGACCATGAGAATCGGCCCGGGGTCCCGGTCCTTCCGGTGCCCGGCAAGCTGCAAGCGAGGGACCGGTGAAATCCTCGGGTGCAAAATCCGTGGGCGGCTCGTTTTTTTTTTTTTTTGAGTTGGTACCCCTTGTTTGGTTTGAAAAGGAACCCAAGTTTGTTGGGAGTCTAAGCGACGAGCCGCCCAAGGCCTTCATGGAACACGGAAAGGTTTTGACCAGAAAGTTTCCCTGCCAAGTTTTCAAGAGACGCCAAGGTCAAAAGGCGGGTAGGATCCTGAAGCTCGTGTCTTGGGGGTTTCGCTCAGAAAGGGCTCTTTCCCTTCCACGAAGAGCTTGGAGAGTGGCATAAATTCATAGGGTCTGTATCATCTTCTTTTCGAACACCGTCCCTGAATTGTGTTGGCACATCCCCGCTGGCACCCAAAATCCGCGTTGGTCATTTTGCAGGAGTTGTCTCGCATGGAAACCCAGAAAAATTAGCAAAAAGCGCGGTTTGGATCCCATTGAGAGAGAAGCTTCCCTTTTCAAACCACACGAAAGCGGGGCTCACTATTTTGGAGCCCATGTAAACTTTAAACCTTCACCATTGGTAAGCCAAATGTCGGCTTGGGTGAAACGGCCCCCATTGCTCACTTTGCTGCTCACTCGGCGCTAGAGCTTCTCAAGCGTCATCTCCATCCTTTTGGCCTTGTTTGTGGTGTTTTCCTGGACGAAAAGAGGGGGGGTGTGACCTCATTGGCCCAAACTTGGTGGGATGTTTTTTCAGCAGGGGGTGCAAGTTGTGGGTCTGTGTCTTCCGGAGCTGGCGTGTTTTTTTTCAGCAGGGGGTGGCAGGTTGATGGGTCTTTGTCTTGATTGACGCGGGGGTGACATTCTTCGCCCAAACTTGTGGATATTTTTGGAGCGGGCGGGGAAGGGGGGGGGAGGTGTCTGGGTCTTGGTCTTGACTTCTGGCGACGAGGCTGGGGTGGGATGTTTGGAGCGGGGGGAGGTGGCAGGTTGATGGGTGTTTGGCCCAGGCAGCTGCGACTCATCGACTGGGGTCTGGCGGAGTTCTACCATCCCGGGCACGAGTACAATGTGCGGGCGGGGGCGCTCAGTCGCCCGGGAGGAATGGGCGGAAGGAATGGGCATGGATCAACATGAAACCACCAGGGGACCGCAGGTTTTGCCACCAGGATCCCATTTTGGGTACCTATTTGTGACCCACAGCCATATGAGCGTGTCCTTTGTGGAGTTGGTTTTCCTTCTTGTGGTGTGGTTGTCAAGGGAAACCAGCAGGACAAGCATTTGGGGGTCCCTCAAATAGACACGCTCACCCATAGCGATGCGGCCCAGGGGCATCTTTGGGCGGTTCTCTGTTCAAATGAGCCAGCAAATGAGTGTACAGCGTCCCATTGCAACAAACAAGCACCCCTTGCTTGGGAGCGGAGGTTCTGACTATACGGACTCCTCCCCGCATAGGAACCATGCAAGACCCTCTAAGACCCTCTGTTTGCCAGACGGGTTGAACTTCTCTGGCCAAGTTGACCCGTCTTCAAGGGGAATTGGCCAAGGGCGTTTCCGCAAGTCAACCAGTCCGCCCGAAGCCCAAGCTCAAAGCTCTCCAGTGATAAAGGGAGACCAAAGGCAGCGGTTGCCTATCCGAGGGGAGCAACCAACTTTGAGCCAATGGGGCGTGAGTTTTCAACTACTTTCAGGAATCCTTATCCCTCCCACCTTGAAGTGAAGGCCATCTTTTAATGGTGACAGAAGTGGAAAAGTCGGTCTTCACGGCTTGCGAGCTTTGCCAACTGGCCTTTTGGTTGCAAGGCATTTGCAGAGAACACTCCTGGTTCTTTTGATCTCGCAAAAACATGTTTTTTGCCCCATTGAAGCTGTGTTTTTTTTCCCCGGGGCCCTCAACCCCTGAAGATTGAGTGGGTGCGGTTTGACGCCGGGAGCACTGCCTGCTCCACGTGCCGAGGTGGCGTCAAGGTACTACAAGGGCCCCGAGCTGCTCGCCCGCGGGCTCAGAGAGAACGGGAGGTTTGGACTCTCCAGCGGGTCCTTGTACTTCCCTGCAGCATACAGCGCATTGCAGTTTCAGAAGGCCGTTTTTTTCTTCTTCTTTTCTTCTTCTTTAAGCTGCGACCTTTGAATGCGCGATGTCCACTCGTCCTGAAATCAACGACAGGCTCCCGGAATTTGGTTCTCCAAAATCAGGTGGACCTGCAGCGGTACGACTACTCCCTGGACATCTGGAGCTTGGGCTGCATGCTTGCCGGCATGGCGCGGATGCCCGAGCTGCAGCCCGTGGTTCGGTTTCTGAAGGTATCTTCCCGGCGGCCCGTTGAATGAGCTTTGTCCAAACTTCCTGTCTAGCTGGCGGCTGGGGTCTCCAAACAGGTGTTATATGGTAGGCGAAATGTGAAGCAGACTCCGACAGTCGATGCAGGTCAAGTGTGGTTCATTTGGAGTTCAGGACATGCCTCTAGCTCCAAATGTTCCCGAAAGTCAGCAGCGGACCCACAATTTGTTCCATGCTGTTTGGGGTAGGCGCATAGTTTGGCCGCTCTTGCGTGTTTGAATACAACTGTGTTTCAAAGATGGGGTTGGCCTTACAGGCGCCGAATCCAATTTGGCGCCTTTGACCGCTCCGAGGTCTTTAAGAAGGAGCCCTTCTTCCATGGCCAGGACAACTATGACCAGTTGGTGAAGATCGCGCGAGTGCTTGGCCGGGGGTCCTATGATCGATTCGCAAGTGAACGTTTTGAGGTGGCAAAACTTGGTGCGTGGCGTCGGGGCGGTTATCACATCGGTCTTGGTGGAGTTCATCTGCACGCCATTGGAAATGGGGAGTGAGAGTCAGTGAGAGTGCTGGTGTTTGAGGGCCGAGTTGTCCCGAAAGCAGAACTTGCGAGGTCGTCAACCTACCAGCAGACATATTAGTACATATGTATATATATATATATATATTCAAACATGGCAAATCATCTTTGCGGGATCAACATGTCTTTCACGTGGGTGTTCTTCTGGGGAAGACCAAGGCATGTCTTGTACGATAGCTTGCTTTGCTTTATGTGCTTCCTGAAAATCGAGGATACGTTGGACTGACTTAAGGCTCTAGATCTTGGTGGTTCTCAGCCATCCCCTTAGGTGTTCGGATTTCTGGTTCTCCATCTACAACCGTGCAACACCTTGGGATTTGGAAAGGTGGGACGGTTGGAGGTGGGAAAGAGCGAGAGAAGTGAGCGAGAATTATCATGTCACCTCCTGACTTCACCGTCCTATCACTCACCAGCCAATTAAAGCATTATAATGGTGGTGAAGTGATGGATGGGAGATGCAGGAAGGAGAAAGGGATGAAGAGGTAGGTGGGTGAAGAGATGGACCGTCCCCCATCCTCCTCCTTCATCCAACCTTCATTCACATCCAAAAGAGGGTTTAGTGGTCCTTTCCATCTAACCTTCTAAAGCTTAAACTTTTAGCAGGGGATAGCCCAGTTCAGTTCTTTCAGCTTCCCCAGATGGTTTTCTTGTTTTTGCTTTGTTGGGTCCCTTTGTTTTCCACGAACCAGGCAGAAAACATATATTTTTTGCTGGGGTCCTAATTCTAGCCTAGTCAGGAAGACAGCGGGAAACCCACTTGAGGGGTTCCACATCGGCCTCACTGCCACAGGCACCGATGGCCTGTTTGCGTATCTGGACAAGTACAACCAGGAGCATTTGCCAACATGTTGGTCCGTTTTTTTTGTTTGTTTTTTTCCCCTGAGGATACCCCATTTTGTGGTGCTTTCTTTATTTTTTTTCCACTGAGGATACCCATTTTGAGTTGCTTTTTGTTTTTTTAAAGTTGTTTTTTCTTTTTTCCTGAGGATACTCATTTTGAGGTGCTTCTTAAGTCTTTTTGTTCTGAGGATACCCATTTTGAGGTGCTTTTTTAAAGTGAACCACAGTTTTTGGACTCCTTTGGACCTCTTGCCATGCACTGCTTTGAAAAGGTTGCACAGAGCTCCGGGTCCTTCAGCATGAAATCACATCGGCTTCCTTGGGGTGTCTACCCTGCCGCCTTCGGAGCACTGGTGACTGTAAACAAATCCTGGCGATGAGTTGAGACGAGTTGCTCAAACATGTGTAAGGTGGGACCCGCCGGTGGTTCGGTTTGCAGACACATCTAGCCCTGCACGCCTTGGACGGAATGGAACAGGATGTTAAACAAGACCCTCCCTGACCATGTACACCTTGAATTGAGGGAAATCCCATATTTTGGGGGAAAGGAGCCTCAGACATGGGTGGTTTTGTCTTTGGCTGTCCCCTGAAAGCCCAATAGATACCTGAGCGTGGAACCGTTCGAAAGCTGGGCTTCCCTGTGAGCAACGGTCAATAAGTCCCGGGGAAGACATGGGGCACACTCACCAAGTTGCCATAAAGGTGCGATGTTCTCACCAAAATCCGACAGACATGTCAGTAACCACGACAGTTTTTGAGTAACCACGACAGACTTTGGGTGACCACGCCAGACTTTGTCAGAAACCGCGCCAGGGTAACCACGCTAGACTTTGTCACTTCCGGAAGGGAAGAGGAAGGGAACAGGACGGGAAGACTAATGGAAGAGGAAAGGGAGTATAATGGAAGAGGAAAGGGAGTATAATGGAAGAGGAAGGGAAGACTACGGGAAGACTAAGGGAAGAGGAAGGGAAGACTACGGGAAGACTAAGGGAAGAGGAAGGGAAGACTACGGGAAGTCTTCCCCGTAGTCTTCCCTTCCTCTTCCCTTAGGCTTCCCGTAGTCTTCCCTTCCTCTTCCCTTAGTCTTCCCTTCCTCTTCCTCTCTTCCCTTCCTTTCAGTCTTGCCTTCCTCCGGAAAGAGAAAGGGAAGAAAAAGGGAAGACAAATGGAGGAAGGGAAGACGGGAAGACTTTCATGGAAGAAGACTGCGGGAAGGGGATGCGAGACTACGGCAGAATCCGCAGAGCGCTCGCTTTGCATTTTTCCCAAATTCGCAGCGCGGCCAGAGCAATCCGACCACGTGGAGGGTCAAGTCGCGATGTTCAAAATGCGGATCCCACTGTCCGCAGCAGTTGGAGCTGGCTGCTGGTGGTTGCTTGGCTTCTTCGCTTGAGCCAGAAGGCGCTCGTCGCATCGCTGCTGTTTCATGCTCGTCAGACCGCGGGTGGCTCATGTCTTACCTGTTTGGAGGTTTAGGCTTCCCTTGACGCTTCCCTTGATGGGCGAATGGGCCTGGCCGGCGCCGGCAAACGCTTCGCTGACAGACCTGGCTGCCATATTGCCCGGCAGGCAGAAGAACTTCACTGGCATGCCAGCAAATGCTGGCAAGTGCTGGCATCCAGCTTCGACCATTGCTTGCCACAGCAATGGCTTCACTTGCACGCCTAGCAAACACCAGTCTTCCCTTCCTCTTCCATTAGTCTTCCCGTAGTCTGCCCTTCCTCCCTTCCTCTTCCCGTAGTCTTCCGTAGTCCGTAGCGCGTAGGCTGCTAAAACAGTCATTCTCGGGCTGGGACTATGGCTGGAATATTGCAGGATTCCCACGAGCTCTATCTGGTCGTGGCCGCCGTTCCGTCCTCCTCCCATGGTCTTTCCGTGCTCTTGCCGCAGTCTCCACGTGCCCCCGTCCTCTTTCGTAGTCTCCGGTGCTCTTGCCGTAATGTTCTCGTCCTCTTTCCCTAGTCTTCCCTTCCTGTACCCGTAGTCTTCCTGTTCCTTCTATTTTCCTTCCAGTTTCCTTTATTTGTATTTTGGTTGACTTTTCCTGTCGTGGTTACTGACTTTTTCTGGCGTGGTTGCTAAGAATTAACCGAATTAGCCACTTAGCATGGTTGCCATCCTGTCTCAAAACCCCATGTCAGCTACATCAGTCGACGCATGTGAATTTGCTCGCGGTTGCCCCAGAGGTTGGTTGCAGCTTTGGTTTAACCAGCCAGACCTCACCCACAAGCCACCCTCACAAGCGGCCCAAGCGGACACAATCCCCACCTAGGTGTTTAGCCAATTAATGTTAACCCCGGATTAATAAACCCCTGGTTGATTAGGGGATTCATCACTTTTGGAGGGACCACCCCCTAGTGGGACGGGTTTATTAATCCTGGGTCAACATTACCCTTCGTACCCAAGGTGTTCACACCCCAGTTGCAGACCAACCTGTTCATCCGTCCGCAGGAGCTGGATCCGCACTTCGACCATATCCTGGGCAGGCCGGAGCCTCGAAGCGCAAAGCCGGGGAAGGTTTCAGCGCATAGCCGTCCCTGATGTTTCCAAAGCAGCAAGATGTTTATGCTCACCCCAAACCCCAAACCGTTTAGGGTTTGGGGTTTGGGGTTTGGGGTTTGGGGTTTGGGGTTTGGGGTTTGGGGTTTGGGGTTTGGGGTTTGGGGTTTACATTGCTGGTGTGCTATTTTATTTGTCCCAGGAGTTTGCCAATGTATATATATATATATATATATAAACATATCGGCTTTCCAAGAAACTTATATAGACTTGCCCCGGACCCAGACAGGCCTGATCAGGAAACGCGGCTGAAGAATCGCAAGGCTAGTTGAAACCAGTGAGATTCGGGAAGCCGCCATTTGTACTGTGAAAGGGCTGCGTTTGACCCTTGGCTACGATTTCTCCACTTTGGGCTTAGACAGTTCAGCTTCACAAAATGGAGAGTTTTCTTCCGTTGGTTTTTAGGTTGGACATTTTCTTCGTGGTTCCTTTCTGGATGGTTGAACCCCCCCGGGCTGTCAAGGCCGGCAAGGTGCAGGGAGGTTTTTCTGGGGTCACCCTTGATCCGGTCGTGGGTATCTAGATCCTCAAAACCTGGGTAGAAGGTTGGCAAGGGATGGTCCCAACCACCTGCCGGGTGCCTGCACCGTCTGTTGAATTCTTTGCATGGTTCCGGGTAGACCATTTGAAATACCAGGCTTGAATTAGGACTCAGGTGATGTTTAGCTGGAAATTGTAGGAAACAAAAACAAGGGGGCCTTTGCTCCCAAATCAGGCATTGCCCCAAAAGCGGAACCCAGATCGGGGTGGGTATGTTCTTCCACCCTTTGTTTACCACCCGTCCTTTGCTTGACATCTTACTACTTCGCCAGACAAATGCTGGTATCATGTTTAGACCCGAGACACCCCCTTCTGGTTGTTGTGGACATCACCTGTTTTGCCAATGTTGCAAACTCCCCTCCAGGTGGCCTAATGTTCCTGCAGTTTTGGAGCAGAAGCCCTGAAATGAGCGCAGAAGAAAGGTGATGGTTCCACCTCAAGTGGAAACTCATAAGATAAGAACACCTTATCTCTTATAACCCCCAAAACGATCCAAATCAGTCCAAAGGAAGGCGTTTTCCCCGTGTTGGGTATCTACAGGTGTCTACTAATGTCCCTTTTCTTTGCTGGCTTTCTAATTACAAGTTGGAAACGGCGGTGGTTGGTGAAAACGCTGTTTTCCTGCAAAGACACCATGGTTTAGCGGAAGGTAACAAAATCAACTGTTTCCCGCAAATCCGGCAAGTGTACAGGGTTTTGAAGCCCGAGATTGTTGGGCACCCCCTGATCGAAATATCCACTTGGGTTGGGGTATGATGCGACCCCCTCAGACAAAATAGGCAATTCTTCCTGTTTTCAAGCCAATGTCCCAATTAAAAGGAAAAGGCTGATATTTGGAGAAGTTGGGAGTAGTGGCGCCGGCAGGGGGCGGATGGCCTTGTTCCTACTGATTCGAACATAGGCCTTGGCATTTGTTTGTGAAGCTCCTCAACCTCGTACAAAACTCAGGCAGCCATGGTTTGGTTTGGCCATCTCCGAACCAAAGGGCTTCAAAGCACCAATTAGCGGGGGGCTGGAAGCTGAGAAGCCTTCGCGCGCGTGCGCAGGCACTCCAGAAAGGCCTGGTCTAAATTCGTGACTTCCGACAACCAATATTTGGTGAGGCGCGAGAGGGTCCGAAGCCCTCTGGTTGGAAATTGGACGTGCAAGCAAGGCTTTCCAACCAGCCAGCCAGCCGTCCAGCCGACCAACCATCCAACCAACCAACCAACCAACCAACCAACCAACCAACCAACCAACCAACCAACCAACCAACCAACCAACCAACCAACCAACCAACCAACCAACCAACCAACCAACCAACCAACCCATGTTCCTCTCAAACTCACTCCCTGAGTTCCTGGACTTCATAAACTTTGGGGGAAGACCGTTTTAGCGGTAAATAGAAGGTTTGGACCTTTCTGGCCAATTCTACTCGGGAAGCGAGAAAATCGTGGTGAAGAGGGTAACACTGCAGGAACTATGAATCAACCTCTGGAATTTTTATCCAGCTGCCCGGAAGCGTAGCAGTGGCAGAGTTGTATAAGTTGTATGAGTACGTGGTTCGAAAGCAACACCAACCGAGAAGTACCAGGAGCAGCAACCTTTAGGAAGTCCCTGTCAAGGTCAACTTTGCCATAGGATCAAAAGTATCAGAGCAGTGCTCACGAAATGGATCTTCCTTCTCCCCAGAGGCAATCACCTGTGATTGGCTTTCCAGAAGAGGGGTTTTCTGTCTGGAACCCAAGTAAATGGCCAGCAAAGTAGATATCTTGCCGCGCAGCGGCCCATCGGTTCGTGTTTCTCACAATTCATGTCATGGGAATTTGCAAGTCGGCACTGAAAGGAAGCCACCAAGAACTTGGGCAACGGCGGTTTCAGATGTCGGGGGCTTTGGGACCGCGCTCAGCCCAGTTTTTTGTTGTTGCGTCGGTGAAAAGAAGCACAGCTAGGTCCCCCAGTAGTGCCCTTCTCTCCCCATTTTGGGGGGAAGGGTTCCCCTACTAAAATAGACTACAGAAAAAAGTTGGTAGCCTTGTTCTTACCTCTCTACTGGAGGACCCAGACAGAGAATTTGGTCGCGAGTCGGCGAAAAGTCGCCAGTTTGGATGTGCTGGACCTCATAGACCGAATGCTCGTCTATGACCACGCCGCAGCCTTAGACCTAACCCATGCGAAGCCGAAGCAGGGACGGGTTTTAGGTGGGCAGAGTGCACCCCGGAATTCAGACCCCAAATTTGCGAAAAAAAGAAAGACAACAAACCACGCGTGAAATGCATGTGATGCTCCCCTGCAATTTTTTTATGGAACCCAAGAACGAGTTCTCCGTACCAAGAAACAAACTATATCGCTTGCCCGCTCCCAAATTTCGCCCCTTTACGGATGCGATCCATGGCGGGAAAAAAAAATACCGTGACACCTAGAACAGCTGCCAAACAATGTCAAATATACCAATTCATTGCGAGAAAACTAAGCCCATGTATCCTGCTGCACAGCACCATTGGAACATGTGTGAGCCCAACCCTCTGTTTGTAACTGCATCGGCGTTTGTCGTCAACCTCGCCCGCTCTTTCAAAGCGGTCGTCTTTCTGAAACCAAGGATTCTCGTAAGACCAAAACCCCTTCACAAAAAAGAAAGGCGTCTCTTTGACTAACGAAGGAATTAAAATCCAGTGTGCCACAGGAGTTTAGCGCTGGCTCAACTGGGTGGCACCCATGAACCGACCAGGGCTTCAATCCCAGAGAGTTGGTTTTGGGGTTTAGTGCGGAGGGCGGAGTTTTTTTCTTTTTGAGATGGTGCGCAGAGTGGCATCTCTCTGCGGAGGGTCATTCGCTTCGGTCTGACTGCGGAGACTGGCATTGGAGTCGAACTCCAAAGGCCCGCGAAGAGTCCCGTTCGCCAAAGTGGCGGCGTGGGAGATGGTGACGTCTTCGCCGTGGGAGGAAATGGGCAGATGCCTACGGCTTCAGGGCAGAAGCCGCCCTGTTGCATGCGGGTGCAGCGTCTGCAGACTGGCCCCAGGGGAAATGCCCTTTCAATGACCTCCAATGAGGTGGGTAGGGATTTCAGACCATGTTTTTGCATGAGAACTGGCACCAGTTCTCCAGACAAATGAGCTGGCGTATCAGGGTTGCACAGTTCAAACATACCCCCCGCGAGCACTTGTTTTGGGTTGGAAGGAGGTAGTTACCATTGTTCCAATTCGGGAAACCAGGTTTTCAACAGACATCACTGGGCTTCGCAGCATGATTTGTGTGGCTTAGGGTTTAGGGCCTACCTTTTTCCAAAGAGGGTCAAACGAGGCGAAAAGAAGGCGGGCACATCCTGGTTCACATGCTGTTCATGTTTGATACACTCCCTTTTTTGCAATGCCAATAAACCGGGGGCCCCCAATAAACCGGTGGTGCTTTTCAACGGCATCTGTGAACCCATTCGAACGATGGCTTGATGGCTGCCATGGCACGGGCCGCTAGCGGTGGCGTGTATGGCTCGGGAACACCACGAGCCGTAGGGGAAAGGCTTCGAGCATGAGAGGTTCTCAAGATGACTTGTGCTTTGGGTCCCGGTGGTCCTTCAAACGTTTGCTGTAGGTAAGTTTGCGGAGGGCACTTTAGTACGACTTGCCAATTTTGCCGTGTCTTCCGGGGGCAAATCATGTTGCCCGTTTAGCCAGCGCTAAGCTGGCGGAATCCCAACCATGCTCCAAACTTGAGGAAGTCCTTCAGCTCATCCGGGGTTGTCCTTGCGAGAGAACATCTTCCGACCAAGTAATTAACCCAAGTCCTTCGCGTGAGACGCACCTGCCCAAGTTAGGGTGTAGCCCCATGGGGATTTTCCCGCGCCTGGGCGCTCGGGGCGCTGGGGGCGCGGCCGAGGCCCAGCGGATCCTGCCGAAGGAGGCGATGCAGCACGCGTACTTCGCACCGATCCGCGCCGGGGCCCCCGGAGCTCCGAGAATGAGACCCAAAGGCGGAGGGGGTGGAACCCCCCCCCCAATCCTCCGGAAAAAATGGGGTGCTCCGAGCTCAGAAGGAACAAACCAGGTTTAAATGGGGCTTGGTGGCCTTTGGTTTTTCGAGGGACCAACTTTCTTTAGGGTTTTGGGTTCAGCTGCTCAGAGGATCCCACCCTCAAACTCCTTGGTTTTGGGGTTCCCTGCTAAACATCAACCTCAAAAACGGCGTCCCTTGTTTTTCTCGGGTCACCATGCAGGGGCTTCCCGCATCCAATTCCCGGTGAGTGAAAAACAATAACGCGACAGTCCCAACCAGAACGAGGTGCGGGTTTTGGTAAGCCCATCCAATGCTGGCCTGTCTAGCCACGTTGCTGTTTCTTGTTACAGACACTTTACCCAACAAAAAAACAATCACAGTTGCATGAGAGTTGTCCTCAAACAAGCCAGCCACTGGCGATTTTAGAGGTTGCTTTTGCCCAGGGGCCGCATTTCAATGGCGCCCTTTTCGAGCCGAGAAACGAGAGACGCTTCTTGCTCAGGAGGCGAGCCCGAAAGCTGCATCGCCAGAGCCAGGGGCCCATTTGCTCCAAGCTCCTTTGCCTTGTTTCTGTTAGGGCGATGGTTGTGTGTCAAAAGTGGGGGGGGGGGGGGCCGCGTGAAGGTCGCTGTCCGTTCAGTTTCCCGAAAGAGGTGAACAGGGCAACCCTGCTGCAACCCTTCTTCTGAACCTTTCTGATTCTGGGTGTTGTTGCGCAGGGGGGGGGGCTGTTTAGTGTTTTCCTGTCTTCCCCTGAGTGGGGCACGATTCCGTCAACCGCATGCACCCAAACCAGACAGAAGCCAAGACGTGAGCAACATAGCTACATATTGGGACAGGCAACATGGACCCTGGATTACACCCGGGTAAGGGAAGGATTCCCTTCAGGAGACACTGCCTGGGTCAGCTTCAACCCACGAATTGTGTCGGAGGGCTGTATATAGAGCCGGTTACGCCTACCTTGCAGGGCAAGGAACGGAAGGAACGGAATGGAGCGCCTGGGACTTGCCATGCTCCCTGGCAAGTTGCAACAACATGCGTCCTCTACTTGTGGGGTAAAGGCCCAACAAACGAGGCGCTTCCTCTGGAGCGAGTAGCTGGGTTTCCTTTGTGAGTTGGTTTCGTCGGCCTGCTTAGGATAACTTGGTTGATACTGTGGGTGGTTGCGAAATCCATTTCGCACCACCTAAGAAGTGCTAGAATGATTCGCGTCCCCTGTCAATACGTTAACAAACAAATGGTTTCCCATGGCTTCAAAGCGGTGCGAAATGGATTTCGTGCATCCACAGCTGGGTTTCAAACAGGCTCGCAAAAGATGTCTTCTCCTGGAAGGAAGTGGTCAATGGGTTCCTTCGGTTTCCCGGTACCTGAGAAATACGTTCCCCAGGCTGAGCATAGGTAAGGGACAATTGAGGCTATTTTGACCTGACCTTCGGGCAGGGGTGGATTGGTCGATTTTCGTTTGCAGTTGGCGTCAGAATGGGTGCGTCTTTTTTAGGGCACCCCGACAATAGTTGGTTTCCCTATCGAAAACCGCAGGTACCCTCCGAACTCGCATCTCTATGTGTCGAAATACGCACGCCAAAACTGATGGTCGATGGTAATCTTTTTCATTTCCCGTCAAGCCAAACTCAAAAAGGGGCACCCCCCAAAATTTCGAGACCAGAAGTTGCGCTGGTTTCTCCAGGTGACCCATGAGGCAGCACAACTTTCCCTCCTTGGGTTCGGTGCCCAAGATGTCACGGAGTCGACCATGGCTCTTGGGCGGTTTGCAAATTAGGCGCTTTTGGAAGACACGGAAGGCGCGTTTGTGGCTGAACAATTGTGTCTTTTCGCATGGTCTACAGTACCTGGTTAGACTGCAGTGGTGACCGAGTAGCAATCTGAACAGAAAACGAGCTTAGTTGAAGGGTAATACGAGCTGAAGGGTAATACGAGCTGATCCATGACGAAAGCTCTTTTTGCAGGGGTTCTCTTTTGTCCAGCAACGGAATTCTAGACAGTCATTTGGCCAGAGTCTTGGGTTTTTCTCTTTGCGTTGAGGTGATAGTGACGTGACGTTTCCGGCAAAGTCCAGGGTCGCCCCGCGAAAGAACCCTTCTGGGGTGCCAAGATGGCCACGGTTCTTTCGTCCACCTTCGGGGTTGGTCTCATGGGGATACTTCAAACTGGCTCGATGCTTTTGGTTTCCCTTTAAATCAACCCACCAAAGGGGCAGCTCACCAAAATTCGCGCGGCCTTCCCCAAGCAACCATCGGATGGCCTGAAACCAGCGGCTACATAAGATTCAACTTCTTTCAGGGAGCCACAAGAGTATGTTGATTTGTTGGACTCAGCGACGGCGGGGGCTGAATCGAATGCTAAACAAACCGAGCCTCCCGCATCTTATGCGGGAGGTCAAAGAACTAAGAAGAGGGGCGGCCCTGTAGCTTGAGCGAGCGCCAAGCTCTCACTGAGTCTCTAGCAGACTGAGTCTGCGAATGGCTGAAGCGAAAGGCAAAATGACCGGTCGAGTCACCTGATGTGGGTGTATCTCTTGAAATTGGGCTTCCTCCCCCTAACACT